TTCAGTGAAAACGGCCATTTTTCACAATATGCTCATGGGGGAAAGGGTTAACTAAAAAAATTATAAATGTTACAAAACAACAATTTTTCACCAAAAATAGCTGAAAGACCACATGTTAACATGGAAAAACTAGTTTTTAGGTGATTCCAAAGTTTTTCATCATTTTTTGTTAACCCTTTACCTCATATATACGCGAAACAACGCACTTTCGACCCCCCCCTTTTTTTTAGGCCTCTAATAGTGAAAAAAATGTCCTATTTGGGCCCCAAACACATGTTTTCGTTTGAGAAATGTTGCTAAAAAAATTGAGCACTTTTTCGGCGCCGCCCCCATCCAAAAGATACATTAGGGGGTTGCCAGAAGGGGGATGTGCCCCCTTCTGTTAGGGGGGTTTGAAGGCGGGCGGAGTCCCCCTCATCGCCAAGAAAATTTTGGACTTGTGAGAGGCTAGTAATGACCCCAGGTCGATCATAATGTAACGTGTAACCAACGCTGAAAAGCCTTTGACTCTATCTCAATCCCTTGAGAAGTTGCAACACTTTGAAATAAATTTTGATGGAAAAAAATCGAGGCATAATAGTGATTTTTGGCAATTTTGAGATGTCCCCTCGTTGCCATGGTAACAGAAAATTTAAGACTGAGCATGTCGTTAAAAAGGCAATGGTCCAGTCAACATTTGTGCCAAGTTTGATTAGTATTAAAGCATTTTTCATAGTTTCATAGCAGTTTGAACTTGTAACAGGAGGCTTTTCAGTGAAAACGGCCATTTTTCACAATATGCTCATGGGGGAAAGGGTTAAAAACTTACGAAATTCTTACTTACGCAAACTTTAGTAAAACACTTTTACGTAAAAACATCAGACGTAAGTTATAACTTACGCAAATCTTAGGCGTAAGTACGTTAAAACGCTGCCCTGCTACTTCTATGGTTTTGATTAATTATTACGTTGTAATACACATTATATGATATTATATTAATGTCAGCAGTACATCACCGTGCTTCAAAATGGTATATTGCACATGGACTATTCCAAATTATAAACCACAAACTGATAATAGTCGATGACCAAAGATATATAAATTTGGATGTAAAAATAATATGGTATTATTCTGTTTTGTTTTAATGTTTTATAGACATATAGTAGTACACTGCAGTTGCAAGACTAGATTTCGTGGCAGACTGCAACCGCATTTCATTTGTACCTTGGGGGGAAAAAAGGAGAAGCGTCACAGCGTCTTTCAATGTTAACTTATAGCAAGCAGTTGTTGAACAAATATTCCACGAATGATATTTTTTGCTCTTAGCTGATCAAGACTCATTCAATTCAGTGTTAATGGTGATGTTGGTAGTTTACCCTTCAGATCATGGCAGCATGTCACACTGAATTTACCAGAGCACAGTTCAGCCACCGCATCAAGCAGTTTATCAGTACTTATTGCCTTCATTTTAGCAACTACTGTACACGCCACAGAAACGACACAGTGCGAATGACCGTAGAAAGGATTTCATGATCAATCACGAGTGACCTGAACCGTCCGGGAATCGAACCCGAATCACCCAATTCACAGTCTAATGCTCCAGCTATTGAGCTAAACAGTTGGTAATTTAGTGTTTAACCTCAATGTCATCTATAAAAAGCAATAGGCGGGGAGAATACATGTACAGGTCGTTAAAGCAACATACGTGTTTTTATATAGGTATTGAATTCAAAACAAAGACTGTTTTGGTTTACACATTTTTTTCTTTATAAGAACCTGGAACGTTAAAAACAATATATCTAAAACAATGATCTAGAAAAACAAAAATTTCATAATAGGTTTACGATTCAAACCAACGATATAAAATCTCATATATGTAATATATTTATATATAAACTGAAAAATTACATTTCTATGTATTAATGTTACACATAAAACATAAACATAAATATACTTTACATTTAAGAATTTTTGATGATCGGTGTCATCCTAATTAAAACAAAACAGTCTGAAAGACACTAGAATTCTACGAAAGCCTAAAACGGACATTAGAACACCTTTAAACACTTGACTAGTAACGTCAATTTCAAATAGTCTTCTTCAGGATACCATATCAATATTAAAAGCACAATTTATGGTCTTTTAACAAAGAAATTTGGCTGACAAGGTCATTGGTGACAAAATCTTTGTTGACTAAGTCATTACTAACAAAGTCTTTGCTGACATGGCCATTAGTAACAAAGTCTTTGCTGACATGGCCATTAGTAATAAAGTCTTTGCTGACAAGGTCATTAGTGACAAAGTCTATACTGACAAGGTCATTGGTGACAAGGTCAGCATCCTATAGAGTACAGAATTTTAAGGCAAGTTTACAATGATTTTAATAAACATCTTCCATATAGTAACGATCTCTCCTTAGCAAACCATCTTTGTGACATAAAATTTACACATACAGGACTTTAGTCAACAATGTCACATTACTCGTACATTTTGCTTTGCAAACAGTCTTTAACAAACATTTAATTGTAAAAAATCCTCAATATTATGAGTATAATTTAGTTCATAAATTTACAAGTACAAAAAGGTAAGTGGATGGACTAGTTCAAGAACATACAGATAAACATTGTTCTTATAAACATAACAAAATAAAACACAACTGACTTTAAGAGGTAACACACTTGATGTGTTTTTTAACAATAGCATTTCATAGGTAAAACAATGTGTAGTGAAAAACAGTGATAATTTTTCTACTGAGAATTTCTTCATGTAGAATCTATCCAAAAATTGCTGATATGATGCATATAGAAATATTAACTTTCAGTAGTATGAAAACGGTTAGTTAACTTCACATGTGAAATTCCTGATTTCATTCATAATAAATATCCTTTCCAATGTGTGACTGGAGTAAATTAATTTCACATGTGAAATTTTGTTTTAAATGCATAAAATATCTGCTTTCCAATGTGCGAATGGGGAAAGTTAAGTTTTACATGAGCAAATTTCTATTTTAAGTCATGAAATATATTCTTGCCAATTACAGAATGGCGTATACTGATTTCACATGTGAAATTTAGTATCTGAAACTTTCATATTCATTGTATAATGTACTTGTTATAAATATGCTTTAATTTCACATGTGTTAATGAGATAAATAAATTTAAAATGAATGAAATAAAATTAGTATTAAAATAATTCATATAAATACTTTTTGATTTATATTTTCCATTCAGAACTGGAATAAAGAGATATTTAACACATGCAATGATTATTTAAAATAAACATACTCATGTTACATATATGTGATTAACATTCACATGTGAAATATGTTCATTCAATTCTTGTATTATATGAGTAAATAAACCATACTTGGAATTTTCACATGTGGGTTCAATTCATTTAATTTCACACATGACAGTCACACAGATTTGTGTTACTTTACTATGTGAGATTGACTTAAATTTCATATGTAAAATCATACTGGAAACTATATATTAGCTAGACTTTGAATTTTCACATGTGTGCCAAAGTAAATAAAAGTTCACATATATAAAACTTTAAAATATATATTAATGAGACTTTGAATTTACACATGTGTGCCAAGGTTAATAAAATTTGACACACACAGTACAGATTAAAATGTATATTTAATATAAATTTCACAAGGTGCAAAAATTTATCAAATTTCACACACATGAAACTTTTCAATATATATTAGCAAGCAGTAACATTTTCACATGTGCAACAAAGTCATTCAAATTTCACACATCAAGTACAGATTCATCTTAAATTGCACTGTTTAAATCAAAATAAATTTCACATGTGAAACCATACTTGAAACTTGTGATATTTGAAAATTTTAAATTGCTTCAAGTTAAAATTTCATGCACCTGATACAGCTTTGTATTACTTTACCATATTTTAATTAATGTTAAATTACTTACTTAAAGTTTTCAAATATAGAAGTTTTACCTTGTCATGCATTAAATTTCAAATACATGTAAATATTACTATTTTCACATGTGATAAAACAATTCGTGAACAATGTCTGTGATAAAAATCAGAACTGAACAGAACAAGAAACATCAAAAATATTTTTTTTCAAACAGTACACCACTGCTTTTAAGCCAAATGTGTTTCCAGGACAGCAGATTGAACTATTCAGGTTGAAATCATAGGATACTAGTAGTATTACGTGATCACAGCATAATCAAAGCATAATAAAAATTTAACATTTACTTACAGCAGTGAATCATTTTCAAATGTTTTATTTTATATAACTAGAACTCCACGAGTCGGATGTGTCGCCTTGTGAACAATATAGTTTAGGAGAAATGGCCAGGACAAAAATGAATTTTGAAAATCAACAAAGGGCAATAAATCAAAAAATAAGAAATGCAGAGCAGCAGTTTCTGTGCAATGCACTTCTTATCAATAAGATCTATCATCCTATTAAGTTTCAAGTCTTAAGCTTTTATAATTTATGAGAAATGGCCTGGACAAAAATAAAGTATGAAAATTAACAAAGGGCTATACTCAAAAAATAAGAAGCACAGAGTACCAGTTCTTGCGCACTGCACTTCTTCTTAATGAGATCTATCATCCTCTGAAGTTTCATGTCCATAGCTTTTATACTTTAGGAGAAATGGCCTGGACAAAAATTAAGTATGAAAATTAACAAAGGGCAATAACTCAAAAAATAAGAAGCGCAGAGTACCAGTTCTTGCGCACTGCACTTCTTCTTAATGAGATCTATCATCCTATGAAGTTTCAAGTCCATAGATTTTATACTTTAGGAGAAATGGCCCGGACAAAAATAAAGTATGAAAATTAACAAAGGGCAATAACTCAAAAAATAAGAAGTGCAGAGTACCGGTTCTTGTGCACTGCACTTCGGGTCATTGTAAGAAGCATGTATACCAAGTTTGAAGTCAATCCGACTTATAATGACTGACATATGCTCCGGACAAGCTTAAGAGGACGCCGACAACAACGCCGACAAAAGTAATCCCTATATGTCGCCTTTTTCAAGGCAACACAAAAACCAGCTCATAGCATTTTCAGCTTTTTTTTATATCATGGTACATGTTTAATGAATATAAATGTGTTTTATTGTTTGTAATCTTCAAAGGCCATTTTCCATTTTGTTTTTATTTGTTTTGTTTGGTTTTATAGGGCACCAATACACATTTTAGGTTAAATGGCACAGAAACAGGAAAGATGATTTTGGCTAAGCTTGGATGTAACAAACTTAAAGCAATACTAGGGGTCAAAACCACCTCACCTGCTGGAGCTAAGAGATGCATAGACTCCAGTAATTTGAACCAATTTAATTGCCTCTTACTATCACGCAGGGATGGCAGCCTCAACCCTCCATTTTGTAATTTGTATGATTATACTTATTTATGCTCCTAGTTTGCAAATGTGTCCAGCCCTTAGGTGGGGGGAGAGGGATTTATGCATAAACTGAAAATAAATCTTGTAATATCATAATGCACAATGTTTAAAATGAAGCTACAGATTGAATGATACGTTTAAATTGAAACTTAATTTGACAGAGAGTATTAAGAAAAATACCTCATCTCTATTCAATAAAAAACCTGCTCCCTCCCACTTACTGTCAAAAAAAGAAAGAAAGAAAAGCAGAAAATCCACAGAGAATACTTATTTTCTTTACAAATTTTCTTTGGGATTTTTTTTGGTTAAAATTTTTGTAATTTTGTAAAATAACATCTCTTAAATGGTCTGCCTCTTAATCACTTTGTAAGTTAAATATATTTTATACTTTTTGTACCTAGAACATGTTTCACTTTAGAGTGAAGTTATTTCCTGTATCTAAAGCATATTCTACTTTTGAGTGGAAGTGACTTTAAATTGCAATTAAAAGTGAACTTTTAACAAAGGTCTTTTTTTTCCTGGTGGTCTGTAAAAACAGGTTACACTGAACAGTTAATTAGTGTATTGTATGCAACTTAAATCTGCTTTTACTTTACGACTAATGCCAAGAAAATCATTGTGTCAGATTTCCTTTTTCTTCTTTTTTTTCCCATATTTCCTATGAAATTCTTTTCAGAATATTTTTCGCAAAATACTAAATATGTTGTTTTTCAAATTATTTGTTTGACTGGACTACCTGATTCGAATTGTTATTTTGTCATCTTAGTGCAGTTATAAGTTAACTCCTTTTATAATTTCATAGGAGTTAACCTATTATTGCACTAAGGTGATGATTTTTTTTGGCTTTACATATTTCTGACAAAGAAGTATGATATTATATTTTCATAAATAATTATTATATCTGCATGCCCCCATTAAAATATCTGGTATAATTTAATATAAAACTGTTTATGCTATTGAATTACACAGAGGCGTTTAAAATCAGACTCAAATTCATCGTCTATTTCTTGCGTGTCCGGATCCTTGTTAGTGATTTCCGGCATAAAGGAAGAAACGTCGATATCTTTCCGTTGGTAGAATAAAATATAAGCAGCATTTGTGTCCAGATGGCTCTCTTGAACCTCCTAAAAATAGAAGTACCGACATTATCATGTATTGTTTATCAGCCATACTAAACATTAGCATGAGCATATTTCTTCCGTTATAGCTTTACACGAAATAAAGAAAGCTTTATACAAAGCATTTTAATGAATTTAAAAGAGTTTTAAATAAATGCATTCTTATTCATGCAATAAAACTGTTTAAAGCAAATACCCAATTTAGGCAATACTTTTCACATGCTAAGCAATACTTCTTGTTGTAATCATCTGATGCAGGAATCTCTAGTAAAGTAAAGCCTGCACAGGTATTAAACAGTGTAAAACTTTGTTTTTACACCGAGAACAGCACTAGTAATACTTTAATAACTATCATTTCTTAAATACAAAAATGTTTTAGACATTTGTAATCACACTAAATGTACAGTTCTTTGGCAATTGCACAAGGAAGAAAACCGTAGTTTATCATTGAGAACCTAGAATATTGTTTTGATTGTTTGGTTTGTGTCTTTTTAGTGGATTTCAACACATTTTTGGTTTTATCTCAATGGTCAGTCAATCTAACCAGTTTTTCCTGGATAACTGGATTACTAACCAGTAATTACCAATTTTTCTGTGAGTAACTGACTAACCAGAAATTACCAATTTCTCTGTAAGTGACTGACTACATATCATATATAAACACATAACTTACCTTACAACTACTGTCATTATAACAGTACCATTTCTGATTTGGATTCTTGGCAAAGGCTACATAATGTCCACCACCAAGAATACCCGTATGACACTGTCAAATAAAAAAAAAAATTACAGTGCCGCTAAAAGGAATGATACTTTTGACTGCTATATTAAGTTACCTGTACACTACTAACAGCATGTTTAAAAGGGACTTCCACTGAGGTTGTTTGTCATGAGGAGGTTGAAAATAATTTTTCAAAATTTATGTTCCACTTGATATAGGTCTAGACGGATAACATTTATGCAAAATTGTCTTTCCAGAATGATTATTCTGATTATGAAAAATGACAGAGTTGCAACGCTTTTCACTCATTTCTGGTAAAGAATAGTGTAAAAAAAAGATTATCAATTAAATTTCTGAGTGTTTTTCTTAACTACCTTTCGCATTTATTTCTGTTTAAGGGCTCAAGCTGATCTAAGTAAGAAATTTAAATTTTATATATTTAGGCTTTTGGACCTGAGTGGAGTTCCTTTAATTAAGCTGGACACAACCATTACAGTTTTACGGTCATTTTCCAAATAAGTAATGACAGAACAGCAAAAACAGTGCAGACAATTGATTGATGAGACAGCACAGATGTGCCAGCTGATCCTGGTCTGCATTGGTCACATGACGCGGACAGATTTAGTTGTCACTAGCAGGTTAAGGGTTAAAGGAACATTGCTTATATCAATTTGATTCCCAAGACACTTGACAGGTTATACTAAAGTGCATTTATTTTAGGTATTGAAAAGCACGAAAGTAGAACCACATATATTATGTTACCAATCTAGATAACTTCACTATTTGTAATTAAACTGACATTTATGAGGATGTTTCAGAAACAGTTTAATTCAAATTCCTTTTCTTATAAAGCAAAGCGATAAAATATATTTTGCAGTATCGGTTTTAGATTTGGAAAAAAAAAAACATGAAAAAATTTGTTACTTACAGACATTGCACATAGATCATAGACAAACTTTGAGCAACCTTTAGTTTTACATGTAGCATTGTTGTTGCTATGACAATTGGAAGTGTTGCTAGGGAAACTATTCTCAGCACATTTCTTGGAATGTTTCATCTCCTCAATCGCTCCATCATCTTTTCTTCTGGACGGTGATACAGACTCTGTGTTAAAAGGGGGGATAATAATGTTGTATTTCTTGAACAATGATGCAAATTTATTTATTTACAAAAAAACCCCCACTTATTTCTGTAAATCAAAGGAATTTGACGAAGCCGAATTACATATAACAGTCTGTATTTCTCCAAAGCACGGTAAATCACTTAATATTCACATAATCTTTAATTTGAAAAAGAAAACCTTCCTGATTTATTTTGCGAATTCATGTTTTAACAGCAAAGTCAGAAATTTAAAATTTATGATTGTTTTGATTAATATTTAATATACATGATAAAAGGTTTCTATAGGATGTTTAAGATAATGGTTTTAAAAATCTCTCCACTAAAAAAAACATATTTTCTTTTAAAAATGATTATCTGTGCACAATATTTTTGTGTATTAAACTTAAGCATTTTTTCTTGTTTCAAACAGACACAGATTTACTTGTTAAGTGTATGTATGTAAGCAGTTATACAAGTTAAACCACTGACCTTGAACTTTGTATGTAAGCAGTTTTCTCACCTGGTTAAGTTTTGAGCTGAAAGTCCCTTGTAAGATTCAAATAGGAATGATCAGGGAAAACTTATTTGAATGTTGAAACCTTGAATGTTAAAACCTTAATCAATGCACCACAGAGAATTCCATATACATTCAACTATAACAAAGTTACCTTAGAACAGGTAAAGGAATACTGTGAATTCACTTAATTTTGTCCAAACATTTTCTGACTGTTTATTTTCAAAAAGGTAAAATGTAAATTATGTGATGCAAAATAATCTTACAGCAGATGAACGGAAATTCCGTTGGTCATTAAATTCGTGGATTGACCTCTCCATGAAAACCACGAAAATTAGTGCCCCACAAATAATAGTGATTTTGCAGTATTCATTCATTATGTATAATAAAATGAGGTCATTATGTATAATAAAATGGAAAGAAATTTCACACAAACCTGGATCATTTTTATCACAGATACAAGAGACATCATTCTCTGTATTTGGCACGGCTAGACCATCTCCATGTGGACTGATTTCTGATTGGTTGTTGCCTTGGATACCACAGTTGCATAAGGAATGTTTACGTGGGGCTAAGTAACACGACGGGTCGAAATCTACTAAGGGAAAATTGACTATTTTGTGCGATTTCACCCACCTTCCATTTAAAAATTGAAATCTTTTCAAATTTACAATCTGAAATAAAGAAATAGAAATATTATAACAGTTTATCACCTCACTCAGAGAATTCAAAAATAATAATTCAATAAGCTTTTGGATTAATTATGTTCTTGTCATAAATTATCTCCTGCAAAAAAGATGATTGTATTAGTTCAAATAAATTAGAACTTACATGATTATTTGAAAAGTGAATGCATAAAATGTCTTTATTCATTTATACATTTTCATTACATTTTTTTTTAATTCCAATGAAAAACACAGAAATATGTCAATTGAACATGGATTTCCCACATTCAACTCTTTTTTTTGTATCAGTCTAGCAGTATGACAACAGAACTTGGGGACATTCAGACAAGATCAAATCTTTATCTCACCCACCCCCTAAATGGCGGCATAAAACTCCCAAACAACTTCTCTTTGGTTATCAGACAACTTCCAACAGTACCAGCACTTACAAGAACAGAAGGAAGTCTCCAAATATCTAGTTTCTTTGAAGCAAGGCAGTGTTTTTTGCATTTAGAACAATAGTACAGTTCATCCTCCCCTAGCTCCTCCTCCTTTGTGAATGCCTGTAAACAGGTGTCAAGGTCAATTGGTTCCGTCTGCTTCTTTCTACTCTCAGCAACACTCGGATTTTCCTCGAAAAACTGGAATTAGATAAATAAATATGTGTGTTCTGTGTGTTGGCAAACCATGAATTCTCTTTCCCTGTCCAAACTTTATTACTTGTTAAGAAAATTACATTAAAATTTTAATCATTTTAAATGTCTTGACCTTGAAGGTCAAGGTCAATTAGAGACAAATGTCAAATTTCAGTAAAAAATATGTTATGGCCAAGGTTATGTGCGTCTGCAGACAGACAAACAGACCAGCTGGACAAAAACAGTATCAATTTCTTTTGCTAAAATATTGCCTTGACCATAACCTTAGTGACCTTGACCTCTAGGTCAGAATAATTATTATCTGTGCATAACCATCAACTGACAAATATTAAAATTTTCTTGCAATCATTTGGGAAAATGTCAAGAGATACGATTCATTCAGTCTAACAATGATATGTATCCATTTGATAAATCATTGAAAGAAAGGAAAGCATTGACCGAGATAACTTACCCGTTCACATGTGGTCTGGTACCTAAGATGTAAAGCAGTTGGTTCCCAATCTACAGCAATAAATGAACTACCAAAATTGAATTTTTCCGTATTACATACTATATTGCAGCCCCGACAAAACCTGAAAATAAATTGTATAACTTGTTTAAAAAAATTTTTTTTTCAAGTTTAGCATTTAAATAACATAAAACTTGGTAAATAAATAATCAAGGACAGAATTTACAGTACTTGTGTTTTTAGGATATTCATTCTCACATATGGCCTTAAATTTTTTTCAACAGATCTAGATTTTGTACATTCAAGACACATGAAAAACTGCAAGAAATTGGTAATATTATAATTAATAACATCTGTCACATGTCAAGGTTCAAATTGGAATATCCGTCCTTTGAGTACTCTGCCCATTGGGCGTTACCGAAGCTTGCTGAAATTTCGGGCCAGGGTAAAACTAACAGAAACACTAGTCAGATATGCAAAAATACTTGTTGTTATAATGAAAAATCCACTTTTCAATGATGAACAGATCAGAATACCTCAAAAGGGTGAGAGTTAGATAATTTGACATTAACTTAATCTAACTAATTCATAATAATTATCTTAGATATTATTCTGTAATTTTGTATTCACTTTTTTTATCAATGACCTACTGACCTACTTATTTTAATTTATACAGAATTTATTTTAGTTTGATTGTGTAGGAAGCTATAAGCTTATAGACATACTTTCGAATCCATTCCTGGAACCAACCAGTACTGAGCAATGAGTGTAAAGTTTCTTGAAGGAAACAACGACTTGCCCCTGACGGGTTTGGACCTACTTACAATTATGACCTTCAACTTACCTGTACCAAGGACACCAGGCACATGTGAAGCCATCTTTTTGAACTACTTTCAGTGTGAATGGGTACTCATAACCCAGACTATCATCACTGTAATGAAAATATGATTTATTTATATTTATCTATACATGTACATTATCTTCACACTTTTTGTGTCTAGTATTGTAAATTTGGACATAATATACATTTATATACATGACATACATGTATTAAAATAGGTTTCTGGGAAACGTAGGAAATAAATATTGTTCACTTTTTATATGTTTATTTCTGTTTCACTTTTTATATGTTTATTTCTGTTTCTACATGTATTTTTGAAACAACACGAGAACCTCTGATGTTGGGTGAGAAAATGATCAAATTACCTTTCATTTAATTCAAATTTTCATAAAATGAAAACACTAAGAGTGAGAAAAAAATATATACAGGCATTGTACCTGAAAAGAAATATAATCTATATAAAATCATAAAGGCTTTATTTACCAGTCAAGAGCATGGTTGGACAGTTTGGCCTCTGACGGGGGAAGGGGACTGACTATTCTAGCAACTTGTTTCCATATAAACTCATACAGATCCTGATTGGACGCTTTCTCATCACATGGCAAAATAATGGGCGTGCCAAACAAACTAGGGCGGGTCTTTTGTGATGACAGGAAGTACAAGTCCATCAATGTCTGGAAAAAAATCGTTACATGTTTTCTAATTATTTTTTAATCCTTACCCTAATGAAGTCAAAAATCATTAGTGTTTGTCACCAGTAAAGAGCCAGGCCAGCTTGCACATCCCTGAAGTCTGACCAGACTCTATACTGTTGGCTAACTTATTTTAATCTTGACATCCCGAATAGTGACATGAAAACTGGACTAGACCATTTCAGAAATTCAGCAGGGTCAATGTTAATTGTTTTCGTATGCTTCATACAAATTATAATTAGTTTTAAAAATAAAAATTTTAACAGTATTCACAAACTAATATAAGAAAAATTGAATCTTGGGTTAACAATTAATATTATGTTTAATCTGTTAGCATAACTTATTGAATATTCTTAACAGATTTTCCCAAAATTAAGCACTATTTTTTTATTATATGTAAAATTTATTTCTTTCTTGTACTACTTTACTTGAATTAAAAGAGTTATAACTTCATCAAGTTAGATAAACATTTACCATTTTCCTATGCACAGCTATTACAAATCCACTGAACACGTCACCGACCGATTTTTGTCCCGATTCTAAACTAACACTACTGTTCATACTCATGTTAAGACTCGTACTGCTGTTGTTACGAGAGTGGGTGGGGGTACTTGTTGCCGAATTACTCCCACGATCTAAACCATTTAGTGCTGGCTGTAATCGCCCTATATGTCCATTTGCTGCAGTTGGTTTTTCTGAAGATGAAAACAATCAATAAATTTTTTCAATCAAAAAAATTCATTTTTTTTAACTAAAATGAATTGTGTCAATTATTTTGTACTTGGTTTGATGACATTTTCTAGTTTAAAACAAGAACATTTGAATTGATTTACTAACTTTACCAACATTTTGACTGATTCCCATGATGATATGATATGTTATATGATATTACAGAGTATTAACATGTTTAAGTCTCTTCATACAAAGTATGGAAGTGAAGAAATTGTATTATTAGTAACAATTATCATGTAAACAAATGAAATGACATTATTGATGTTAACAATAATAATTTCGTTGTGACTTCCTTTGATTAATTTATAATTATAAATGGTGATGAGATTTATATTTTCCTTTTCTGTTGCTCCTTGCTTGAATAAGAGGCGTCACGACACAAACCATTAGGAGATATGCAAATATGCAAGATATGCATTTAAGCTACTGAAACATTGTTGATATAGAGGATATTAAATATGTGTAGGTTCAGAACTGAATTTATTGAATGAGTTGAATAAATTTGTATTATGTGAGCCTCTGAGGTCATGTCAAAATATATGCACATCCTGCAATACCATTAATTTTTTACATGTCAAAATATTAGCACATCCCTGCAATATCATTTTTACATGTCAAAATATATGCACATCCCTGCAATACCATTTTTACCGAGTTGCAAAAGTGGCACAGGTATGTGATGAAATATTAAAATGTAACAGACACATTGCTAGTGATTGATTCAACAGAACTATATCATCAAATATTACATACTTGATATGCCGCGCTGTATTTCACTAAGACCAATGTTTGATTTTTTCTCCGAAGTTTCGTCCTCAGCTGTGATTGGTTCAATATCTTCTACAGGAGGTAGTTCATATGCATAGAGGGAGCCACCTAGCAGGTTACGTACCTTCTGATTATCATGTGGCAGTGTCTGAAAGGAGAAATACAGTCATGTATATATTTAATCTGAATCTTCAATACCATACCTGCATGTTAACATAGCATTACATTTTTCAAATGATATGTTCTGTCTCAAAATTCAATCTGAAGTTTCTATGAACAAAAAACATAGGTAAAACTTAGAAAATTGAAAAATATTCCCAAATCGGACTTTAAGCATTTTACTTACTTTAGACAGAAATGGTGTTTGTGTATCTGAAATCATGACATTCAGAAAATAAATCCTGGAAACTTATATCTATGTGACATGACATGCAATTTGTAATATAACTTAATTCAGTTCCAAAAATTTGATTTACACATCTATATAGGACAGCTGTTAGGTAAATAATTAATATTGCATAATTTTATACAAGAAGAATGATAACCAATTTTAATCTGAATACATGTATATACTTCAGGACAAGTTTGCTTAATTTATCATTTTCATGAGATGACAGAATGTTTTAAGAATTACAGTTTATATCTCTTGTCTTGGTAACCTTTTTTTTGCCATTCAATAGAATATGCACGGTTTATAAATTGACTTCGGGTTTGTGTGATTTACTTAATTTTTACTACATCTGTATTGGCTAACAATCGCATTATTATCATAACCTAAATATGCCATTTTCAACAGAACAAGCTCAACTCAAGCCAAGACATACAGCAAAACAAGAGAAAATCTATCCACCAGATGGTCAAAGTCCTAAGAACAGAATCAACTGTTATTCTAATCAAAGTAACCCCACTGACTCAACTCCATTCATAACAAAAATTGAAATATCCATAATCAATTGATTATTTAATAAAACCAAAGTCATCTATAAGAAATACTTGATTATAATCATGGGCAAACATTGGGAATTAGTTCACCTCACTTGACATTGCATGAAATTACAGCAAGAATTATCAGATTCCATTTATTTTCTGTTAATGCAATGAAAGAATTCATGAGATTCAAAAATTGGATAAAAGCTCTTAAAAATCTTCTTCATTAATGTCTTGCACTTACTTTGTAAGCCAATTATCAATCCAGTGATAGAAATATTTAATGCTAGAACATTATTTTTTCATCATGATTTTGCTACTACTGTGTCTATACAAAATGGTAACAACTTTACAGATATACACCTCCCAAAATAATATTTTTTCCACAAAAGGCATAAATTTTATTACAACAATTTCTACTTTGATTTTTATTCCAAAAATACTTAATTTGCAAACTACATTTATAACTATAAGTGATATGTGTACATCAAATTGTGAACCATGTTTTTTTCATTAAATTATATTCTATTTCTAAGCAAATTATCAACCTTTATCCATCTTATCATGGCACCACATCAGTATATACCACTTTCTATCAACAAAACATTTTTTTCAAGATTCTATAAAACTCCTCGAAGTTCAAATATACCTATATTTAAAATATATTTTTTTTTGTTTTTGAGATACTGTTAATTTGTGCCATAAAATAATGCCCTAAAATATTTTTTCTTTTTGTTTTTGAGATACTGTTAATTTGTGCCATAAAAAAATGCTCTAAAATATTTTTTCTTTCTGTTTTAGAGATACTGTTAATTTGTGCCATAAAATAATGTCCTATCAGTAAATGATCACAATATTATCTCATCATGATGTTTATATCTGTATAAACTGCTAACAGAAAGCTGCACCATATGGTCAGATCTATACAAGGAAAACAATCAGAGTTAATATGGTCAACCTGTCAATCATATCTGACCTATATGACCTTATAAGGTGTATGCACTTGGCATAAATGACATCTGTAATATCATAGCACTTTCAGACTTTCAGAAACTCTCCATTTATCATTCATAGATTGGAAACTGAGTACTGAGTAAGGCCACAAAAATATAATTACATGTTTTATGTAGAATTTTTTCTTCTTTTTTTCTTTTCTTTCTTTTCATGCCTCAAAAATGCTATCATATTTTTCTTATTTCTGATTTTTTTTAATTTTTGGTATCTTATCACAGAAAAAAAAAACTATAGACATATCATAAAAAATGGGAAACAATTTTTTTTCTATTAGTTTAAACAAAATTAATTTATAAACATTTCATTTACGTAATGAATTGCAAGTAATAGATTGTACAGATTTAGTAGGAAGCTTAAAAAGTTTTTTTTTTTTTTTTTAAATTCTTTGTTTGTTTTGTATTGGGTTTTACTTCACATTGACACAGTATAGGTCATATCATAACGTTTCAGCTTTACTGGTGGAGGAAAACCTCAGGTGCCCTTCTGTGCATTATTTCAGGCACGAACAGGCACCTGAGTAGAACCACAGACGTTCCGTAAGCTAGCTGGATAGCTTCCTCACATGAAAGAATCCAAAGTCCCTTTAGGGATTCGAACTCACAGTGGTGAGGGGCAAGTGGTTTGAAGTCAACAACCTTAACCACTCGCCCACGGACGCCCCTCCTTAAATTCTTTGTAAAAATTGTGAAAATAATTATGGATAGTGATACTCTTACTGTTTCTTCATTTGTAGTCATTTAATGCATCTTTTATTCATGAAATTCAATGAAAATTATGCCTGCTTCTATTATTTTTCAATATATCTTTTATCTAAAAACTAACAACTGTTATTATGCACAAATCAATTTTTTAATTGTACCTTTTTTACAAATTTCCCCCCAAGTCCAAGAAGATCATTACAAAGAAAAGTTATATATACAGAATTTGTTGACACAAGAACCAAAGCTTACAAAATCTTAATAAGCTTGGCCTAAACTTCAATCAAAACTCAACAACTTTCCTCCACAGCCTCATGACAAATCTTACAAAAGAATGATCAACTTAACAGTGGATAATTTGGAAGGAAATATCAGGTTTGCAGATTTCATTGTATTTCATTAAATTAATTTTTGCAATACAGCGCAGATTAGATCAATTTTGTCAGTATAATTAAAGAGTGCATGATCAACCTTGCAATAAAATAAACTTCTACAATTAATAAAATAAAATAACCAATTTAATGCATTTCCTTATAGTTTTGGTGCAAAACTATGAAATAACTTTTTTTCAAACCAGCACAACTTCAAATTAAATCATACTTTTTTTTATCACAGAAAAATATTTTTATGTACATGTGTATTATTTTACCCAATTTGTTCCTTGACAAACCACCAAGCACCTAGAAATTCTAAGGAAAAGAAAAGAATAGAAAGATGCATAAAATATGAAAAGGCTAGGTCAAATTTTGAAATAACCAGAAAATCACATTTTTATCATTTTTCTTTTTTTTTATTTAAATAGATTAACAATTTTTAGGAATTATATTTGAAAAACAACAACATTTTGTCATTTTTCGTATATAAAAAAAATATACTAAAATAAATATTTTTTTCATTTATTCATTAAATAAATTAAAATAATTTAGGAAACATAGGAAATTACACATTTCAATCACTACTTGAATGATAAATTAAAGTTTATTTCTATATTCAATTACAACAATTAACCATCTTTAACCATTTAAAACAGATTTCATGTTAGTATAATATTATTTCTATATAGTAAAAGAATATGAACCTAGTTTTAGATCAACTATAAAACTTTTTTTATCACAATTAGGTTCAATTTAATATTTTTTATTTAAGTTGAGGGCAGCAACTGAATTTACCTATGTGACAGTGCAAAACAAGATATGCATAGTTTACATTGTTTGCCTTTCAGTCAATTTCTATTTCATTGTTTGCCTTTCAGTCAGTTTTTATTTCATTGTTTGCCTTTCAGTCAGTTTTATTTCAAAATTTTGCCTAAAAACTATGAGTACTTTGTGCTGATTATAAGAGATAGACAACTCAGTTTAACGTATTTACTGGCATGCGAGCAGTTCCCGTACAGAAGCAGTACCCGTATTTTTCATTTAAACGCTTGATTTTTACTTGCATTCTTCAAAAATTCATTTCAAATCAAGCAAATACATAAACGAGACAAAATCTAATTGTCAGTTCGGCAGTACGTATATAAAGTCTCATTTTAAATCACTTTCACCTGTGCGTCGTCAAAACGTGACCTTGTTTTCTCTGGGGGATTCCGTCCTTGCGCGCATGCGCAACAATACTTACACGTGAGGCTTGTTAAAGGGTTTTCCACTAATACCACCTGTTTACAAATAAGTAGGCAATGAGATTGAAAAATTGTTTAATTATCAGAATGTTGACCAATATTACTATAAATAATAATTTTGTGGCTTTGATGCGTAAAATATCATGCATACAAGCATGTTACTGCATATGAAATGCGTAGGGTAACGGTAACCGGGTAATAGATACCCGCGTTTAGTCTACGCTCTATTTCCTGAATTACATCTATTTACTCTTAGATAATGGTCTGTTCAAAATTGTAAATGAAAAATAGGTCCGATATAATAAAATTGTATAATTATAATGGGTTAGATTTTATGTACGGGAACTACTTCTTTTCATTAACAAAATAATGGATAATTTCGGTACCCCCATATGAGGCCTCATAAGTAAGGGTTATTCTATGTTTAGAACATGATGGAATTTCCATGATTTGTGTGACGAGCCGAATATTGATGTGTAACATTCAAATATTGGTGAGTGAGCGTAATAAAAAATAATGATTAAGTAACTATGATTTTTGTACGGGAACTGCTCGCATGCCAGTAGTGTGGGTAAAAGTTGAACATTTTTTCTTTTTATACAGGATACAGCGATTGTTGCCATGACAACTTCACCTACATTTTATGAAGAGCAATTGAACTACACAGACCCCTGGGACTGGAATGACGACTGTGCTCTTGACTGTTTATGGGACAGAGTTCGGAAAAGTCGGCTGTTTGTTCTGCGACCTTTGACCATTATTCTGTCCCTAATTGGGATCATAGGTGTCATTGGTAACATTCTCGTTATTCTGGTATTTTCCCGGACGGTAAAAAAACGTACATCAACGTATCTCGTGTTAACACTGGCGATTATAGACCTGATTGCCTGTATCATTGTTATCCCAGGAACGTTATTAAAAGAATGGCTGTTTGAATTCAAAAGCGACCTGATTTGTAAATTATGGGAATTAATGCGCAACTGGGCCATTATCTCGTCGGCCATGATTTTAGCTGCTATAGCTTTGGACAGGTTTCTGCTAGTGTACAAGAAGACTCATCAAGATGGAAGCAAAAATGTTACTATGACAATGATTCTGGTAACTATGGTGACAGGGATCGCCCTCGGTGTTCCGCCAATGCTGGGAGTCGGCACTTACATGGAGACTGAAGAGGGTGGGCTTATCAACATGGACGTCTGCATGCCTAACGATCAGCTAATATCAGTGGACAGTCTATTCCTGTACTGGCAAATTGTTACATCGCTATTTGGACTATTAATCTTAACAATAATAGTCCTGTATATGCTTATATTTGCAATGGTTTACAGACATTCTACAAGAATTCACAATTCCACAGGGCTATCTTCATCACAATCAAAGCAAATTGGACAAGGAACAACAGTGTTACCATTTGTTGGTTTTTCCAAAAGTGAACGACCAAATATGCTGAAAATTAATACCAGTAACCAAGGAATGCAGCATAAAAATTTTTTAACAACAAGACTTAATACTATGAAGAATCACTTCAAAAGAACAAAATTTGTGACAAAGAAAGCTGATGAACAAGTTATTACTATAAAAATTGTAGAAAACTCTACAACGTCATCCAGCACTCCAAATCATAAACAGGAAGATAACTGTCACCATAGAAACTCATTGTTTTCTAAATCAAATGGAATGGCAAGAAGTGGGATGCAACCTAACATTCCATTGGTTGAAATCAAGAATGACATTGTGTCACAATGACCATCTTACAATAAACCACGCCAATCAGAGACTTAAGCCATTCCCAAGTACCAATAATGCAACCATAACTTTCAGCAGGGCCAATCCAGAAAACAAGCCCTTTGGGCCAATGAAAAATAGGTCAGCTCACATTCAAAACAACAAAAAGGCTTAATGCAATGCATTAAAAAAACAGTGTATAAATTATATGGCAATTTTTTACCAATGTTTTGATTACGCCATAAGGCACTGGAGAAAAAAACAGTTATAATATTCTACCTATACTTCATTAACAACGCTGCTAATCCAGTCATTTATTCATTTATGAATAGAAAGTTCCGGCAGGATATATGGAAGATGTTCTCCTGTAGAAGTAATAGAGTTTGGACAGGATAATAATTTCTATCCAAATTTTGTTATTTACATTTATCACATAAACCGCGGCGCAGGAGTGTAATAAAGCCATTTAATAAAAACGGTATTACACTAGACAATATTACACTAGTGTAATAACACTTTGACGTCACGTCATTTGCGCTACATAAACATAGCGTTAAAGCGCGCTAATGTTAGCGTTACACTATAGGTGCGTCAAAGAAAAATAACTCTTGATAACACTTTACTGTTCTTATTTTATATATGTGATAAATAGAATATCATATTCGTGTAGATTCAATACTACATTTATTGAACTTGTTGAATAAAACAATATTATGCTCGCCAGAGGCTCGCATAATATGATTTTATTCAACTCGTTCAATAAATATAGTATTAAACCTACACTCATTCAATATCCTCTATTGCCTAAAATCAAAATTAAAGAAAACTATATTTAGCCCTTACTCTGCTGTAACCAAAGTAATTAACCTTTGCTAACAGTATAGAGCCAGGTTAGCCTGTACATCTAAGCTGTCTGACCAGATGTTATACTCTTGGCTGACAAAGTTTCAATATTTATGTTGATATCCCAAAATTAATAATACACAATCCATAACATGCAGCTAGACAATTTTTACTATTGAGACACTTTCTACATAAACATGAAAATAAGCATGAATTTAAAGGCAAGCTGTTTTAAACAAATATTGTAATTTGAATATAAGCCTATGTCCATGTATGTCAAATAGAAATGGTTAATCCTTTAATAAATAAGAGTTTCAATAATTCTTTGTTTTGTTTTCATTTCATCTGTCAAATGGGGTTTTCTATGCCATACATGTAAGTCACACGTAATAAGTAAGTCTCAACATATTAATTTGAGCTTATTTATGACAGAAGTTTGAAGTGTATATGAAATGGTCTGCCGTCTTCTTCCTGGAGGTTACCGGTATTAGTGTCATATTAGGAAACACAATCATCACCAAGTATAACTCTCACCTACAATTTTTAGTAGGATCAAAATAAGACACCTTAACCACTAGATAGAGTCATCAAATATTCAACTTCCAGATTCAAAATAAAAAACTGACAACTTATATATGGTATATAGTGAAAAAATCAACAAAGGGCCATAATTCTGTTAAATTTGGTCGCAGCAAAAATTTCTTCCTTAACTACCATCTACACATTAAGGTTGTTCATCCCTGGAAGTTTAAGCAAAATCTGCCATCCAGTTTAAGAGGAGTTGCGTTCACAAAATTTCTATATGGTTTATAGTGAAAAAATCAACAAAGGGCCATAATTCAGTTAAATTTGGTCGCAGCAAAAATTCCTTCCTTTACTACCATCTACACATTAAGGTTGATCATCCTTGAAAGTTTAAGCAAAATCTGCCATCCGGTTTAAGAGGAGTTGCGTTCACAAGATTTTGGACGTACGGACGGACAGACGTACGGACAAGTGCAACGCTATATGCTCCCACTTTTTGGGGGCATAAAAAAAAATTCTTATAAAATACTAGGTAGAGGGAGTTTAAAAACAGCAAGTTTACTATGAATGCATGACTAGTCCCCTATTGTTAGTGTGTTTTACGTCACACTTACACTGTTATAGTAATATGGTGACTTTTTCGCTTTACTGGTAGAGGAATATGTAAACAACATGGACATTTACATACCTTGACAACAGGACCAACTATTTCTACAAGCAGTATTTGTTCGGGCGATATGTCGGCTAATTTACTAAGCTCCTTCTTTAATGCCTTGTATTTCTCATCCATGTTTAACCGTAGACCGTATTTCACCGGCACAGAACCATCCAATCTCATCACTGAAATAATTTGTATATATTATAGGGATTTCATGTCTATATGTTTTTACAGGTTTGGCAAGTTTCATATTATTTTATTTTTCTTGTCAAAAAGTATATGTAGGCCGAGGGCATCCTACAAGCCCATAGTTAATATGCAAAATTTATGAATTATATTAACAACAAGATTAGAATGTCGAACGACACATATACCCCCCTTTCTAGCAATTGACTCACATAATTGGTAATTTTATTACAGAAACTTGCCAAAAATGGGTACATGGAAGTGTTCAATTATGGAAAAATCAACAGAAACCATTTTGAAATTTAAGGCCCATGTGACATTGACCTTTGACCTAATGACCCCTAAATCGTTAGAGGTCATCTACTACTTATGACCAATAACTAGGTGAAATATGAAGACTGTGATGAATACTTTTCAAGATAATCAGCTAAAACCCTTTTGACATTTAAGGCCCCTGTGACCTTGACCTTAAACCTAGTGACCCCAAAATTAATAGGTGTCATCTACTAGTTATGACCAATCATTATGTGAAATATGAAGACTTTGTGATAAATACTTTTCAAGATAATCAGCGGAAACCATTTTGACATTTTAAGGTCCCTGTGACCTTGACCTTTGACCTAGTGACCCCAAAATCAATAGGGGTCATCTGCTAGTGATGACAAATCAGTATGTGAAATATGAAGACTTTGTGATACATACTTTTCAAGATTATCAGCGGAAACCCTTTTGACATTTAAGTCCCCTGTGACCTTGAACTTTGACCTAGTGACCCCAAAATCAATAGGGGTCATCTACTAGTTATGACCAATCACTGTGTGAAATATGAAGACTTTGTGATACATTCTTTTCAAGATAATCAGCGGCAACCATTTTGACATTTAAGGTCCCTGTGACCTTGACCTTGTGACCCCAAAATCAATAGGGGTCATCTACTAGTGATGACCAATCACTATGTGAAATATGAAGACTTTGTGATACATACTTTTTCAAGATAATCAGCGGAAACCATATTGACATTTAAGGCCCCTGTGACCTTGACCTTTGACCTAGTGACCCCAAAATCAATAGGGGTCATCTACTAGTGATGACCAATCACTATGTGAAATATGAAGACTTTGTGATGAATACTTTTCAAGATAATCAGCTAAAACCCTTTTGATATTTAAGGCCCCTGTGACCTTGACCTTAAACCTAGTGACCCCAAAATTAATAGGTGTCATCTACTAGTTATGACCAATCATTATGTGAAATATGAAGACTTTGTGATAAATACTTTTCAAGATAATCAGCGGAAACCCTTTTGACATTTTAAGGTCCCTGTGACCTTGACCTTTGACCTAGTGACCCCAAAATCAATAGGGGTCATCTGCTAGTGATGACCAATCAGTATGTGAAATATGAAGACTTTGTGATACATACTTTTCAAGATTATCAGCGGAAACCCTTTTTACATTTAAGGCCCCTGTGACCTTGACCTTTGACCTAGTGACCCCAAAATCAATAGGGGTCATCTACTAGTTATGACCAATCACTGTGTGAAATATGAAGACTTTGTGATACATACTTTTCAAGATAATCAGCGGCAACCATTTTGACATTTAAGGTCCCTGTGACCTTGACCTTTGACCTAGTGACCCCAAAATCAATAGGGGTCATCTACTAGTGATGACCAATCACTATGTGAAATATGAAGACTTTGTGATACATACTTTTTCAAGATAATCAGCGGAAACCATTTTGACATTTAAGGCCCCTGTGACCTTGACCTTTGACCTAGTGACCCCAAAATCAATAGGGGTCATCTACTAGTGATGACCAATCACTATGTGAAATATGAAGACTTTGTGATACATACTTTTCAAGATAATCAGCGGAAACCATTTTGACATTTAAGGTCCCTGTGACCTTGACCTTTGACCTAGTGACCCCAAAATCAATAAGGGTCATCTACTAGTTATGACCAATCACTATGTGAAATATGAAGACTTTGTGATAAATACTTTTCAAGATAATCAGCGGAAACCATGTGGTCTACCGACGGACAGACCGACGGACAGACCGACATTAGCAAAACAATATACCCCCTCTTCTTCGAAGGGGGGCATAAAAATATACATGTATCACAAGCGTTTTTATGAACAATCAACAGTTCTATATTACATATGTTCACATACAACACATATATATTAATTTAGTTAACCTCATTTATATATTTCAACCATAAAAAAAGAAAGATGAAATTATTTTTTTACAATCCATTGAATTAAGATTCCACAAAAATGCCTTTAGTGACAAAACCATGAAATTTCATGGACACAAAATTAAGTGAATTCACAGTATGCATTACAATACAATACAGACTTACCAATAATTTCAAGGTGTATACAGCTTTCCATGGGTAATGGTAAAGACAAATAGTTGAAGGGATCAAACCTAACACTGGTGTGACCACATTCCTTACATCTAACCTGCGATTTTAACTGACCATGGAATAAATCTACTATCACAGACTGGTTACGCAGCAAATGGTTATCCCAGGCCTACAAAATACAAGTGAATATGGTATACAGTCTATCTAAACAGACTTTTCAATGATAAAATGTCTAAAATACAGATACATATGAGACAAAGTAAACTATAACCAACTACTCATTCTACAGACAACAGTCCAAAATCTTTTATTCACCATTCCGTTGTAATCACCCCTACTTTCCTGGGATAATAGCAAAGAATAGGACTTAGATACCCTGGTACAATCATAACAAACTGAATGCACTATCAAATGATAAGATATATGCAAGTTCCTCCATACTCTTGATCAGATTATTTTTAGCGTAAAAAATTAAAACCATTGCATTCTGTTGGATACAGGACATGAAAAAGATGGCTGTTTCCTTCTTCTGGTTTCCCCACTTGCCCTTTTAAATAAGTGTGTTAGTGTGTGTGTTGGGAGGGGGATGTATAAAAATATAATATACAGAGTCTAATATTATTTTACAATAACTGATTTTCTGATGCCAAAACTAATACCCAGTAAGCACAAAATTGCAGCTGAAAATTTGAAAATTACGCACCTCTTGAGCAACAATTTCATCTGGTCTCCCATCAGAATCTTTCAGTTCTACATATGGTTTATCATGTACTCTATTCAAGTCTTCATGTAGGCCATCTAGCAGAAAACTTAGCAATTCCTGAGAGTCATGCTGTTGGAAGCCATTAAAACGGGGTGCATACTTTCCTATAGTCCACTGTAATACAACAAGAAATTATATCAGATACATTAAAACATTTAAACTACTTAATTCTTGATAAAAGACTTGTCCATTTTTCAATCTGAAAAAAAACCCATTTATCAACTTTAGAAAAAAAAATCTTAAATGAGTACTGAGTGAATATCAAACAGTGCAGACCATGATCAGATTTTAGAAAAGTACTAGCTGATCTTGGTCTGCACTGGTTGCATAGGTAAAATAAGTTGTCCAATATGGGTTAATATATATGCTTTATCTATACCCTTGACATTCAAAAAAGCCCATAAGGGCAAGCATTTACAAGTATGTTTCATACATAACTATACTATATTTTAAAGGGATCTTGTGTTAAAAAACCAGTATCATACATGTGTTCTAAAATATATGAGTAAGACCTGGATAATGCATAAGATAAGAAATAATGGTAAATATACCAAATACTTGCATTAAATCTGCACATGCTGGTATACATTAACAGAACAGAAAACATGCATTTACAGATAAAATCATCTGAGCGTGTGCTGTTGTTTCACATTTTTTAATATGCATGCATCAGGGTGCCAGTGTAAAAATAGCATATTGTAAACACTGGCCCCGGCAGTTTTATTATCAAAACATAACTGTCAAATGACATCACAATATCATGTGGAAAGCATGAACAATAGTTTCTTTATAGAGTAACAAACAGATAATGACACATGGAATTACAGAATTAGAGTTATACTGTTATGCAAGAATAGCACTAATGCATCTTTTTCATGCAATAACATCTGCAGATTATCTCTGACCGATTAAATTCTTCAACTTGAGAGCTTGGGCTTTTAATGTGTTCTCATGTTTTCTCAAACATTAAATATGCAAGGAAACAAAGGTGCATAAACCCTCTATTAATAATGGGAACATTTTGTAAACATACCCTTAATTTCAAAGGTGCTGTTGTTTTAGTTGTACCACTCCACATATCTTTGACCAGATCCCCATACCTCTGAGCTATATGTCCTTTCATACCCAACGGATTTGTTCTGGAAAAAAAATATGTTGTTTTTTTTCCACTTTTTTATTGTTGTGTTTTTTTATGTTGTGTTTTTTAATTTGTTAATGTTTAATTTTTTTTTTGTCTATCTGGCACTATTTATGCTGACTTTGACATATTTTTTAGTCATATCTTGGCAGTCGGTCCACCTAACCAGCATTCCAAACAATAACTAATTTCTCCTCAAGTGACCAACTACATATCTCATATTTTTAAATCAGCTTTGAGAGACAACTAACCATTACTCTTTATACAAGATTGGATTCTTTCATGTGAGAAAGCTATCCAGCTAGCTTACGGAACGTCGGTGGTTCTACTCAGGTGCCCGTTTGTGCCTGAAATAATACACAGAAGGGCACCTGATATCTTCCTCCACCAGTAAAGCTGAAACGTCGCCATATGACCTATAATGTGTCAGTGTGACGTTAAACCCAATTAAACATAAACAAAACTTATACAAGATCAATTGTCACTAAGAAATTTCACCTTGCTAGCCCGAGGATCAAATCTGAGTCCCCTGAATTACAAAATTAACACTGTCTTTATTCAGCTAAGTAAGCTGACATGCTTACAATTTAAGAAATACAATCATTTACCTACCCTAGTTATAGGTGCATACAGGCAGGCCTAGGTAACAAATACAATCCAAGGCTAGCCCGACACTGTTGTCTGCTTCGATATTGACAAAACCTGATTAAACCTTAGATAATTATATGAATTTAAAATGCCTTTTGGTAACAATTCAAAGCCAATTCAACTTAATAACTCGGAACAGTCTGACCTGGCTTAATATACTTTTGCACCCTCTATATTGTCAGCTGAGAATCAACAAATTTTCAAAATTTGATAACCATACCTGTTTAGTTCATACTGATAAAAGCCTTCTTTAAAGTATCTAGTGAGAGGTTGAGTGTTGGACACACATTGTACTGCAGCATTCATAAAACATGTGTTCCCTAAGTTGTTTAAACCTGTCGCCCCAGGTTCCGTCGGCACTGTAATAAAACATCATATCACATATAATAAAGATCATTGACATATATTCATCAAAGATGCATTAATATCACAAGTATCATCTTTACTATACAGCAATAACTCCTATTAATGTAATTTTTACAAAAAAAAATCTACTACATAGCAATATCTCCAATTAATGAACCAATAACAAAACCATAATTTCACTCATTTAACTTTTTTCCCCAATACAAATTTGTCCTCAGCATACCAAATACAAATGCCATCACAAAACGTGGTACCAGACAGTAGTATCAGATATTACAAAAATAAATGAACTAAATCAAAATCAGTTCTTGTTCAACTGTCTCACTCTTGAATCTGTTCCTTAAAACAAACAAGTCTTAAGTTTCTTGTTTAAAGAAACAACAGCAACCCACACAGACAGGGTTTAAACCCGTGCAGCCAGCAATCATTGGATTACCAGTCTCATACATTTCCCATTCTGCCATGCTGCTGTGTTGCTGCTGTGTTACTGCATGGGTTAAGCAATTTCTGAGATACCAGAATATTTTACCTTGATCTTTCTTCATGTTTTTGTTCTTTGCTAATTGTGACATCTCTTCTGGCCATGTCAGATCCTTGTTCCTCACTATAAAATATATTAAAATTCACTTTTTAAAAATCATATTTTAATGAACTTTATTTATAATACATCAAAATTCTTTTTTTTTCCAAATAATATTTAAATGACATTTATTCATAGCAGTAATTACAATTGTTTCTGTTTAATTAAACTAACATACATGAACCCACATATTACTAACTTTGTTAAATGGGCTTATTTTAAACAAGGAACAATTCATTAGTGATTTAAAGGATTTCAGGATAAAAGAAGTTTAATTGTTTAGCCAACAGTAGAGACAAATAGAAAAATGCTCCTATTGTCATCTTGGTGCAGTAATGGCTGAACTCCTTATATTATTTAAAATTAGTTAAGCTGTTAGTGCACTGAGATGATGAACAATGCAGATTGGCCTTCTTTCGTTCCTGTTTTGTAGTAAGGATGTAAATGCCTTAATCTTATAAGAACTGTAATTCCAGATAAACTTTATGTTATTCATAAAGAAAGTAATATTTTTACTATGATCAACTTTTTGTAAAAATGATTTATTTTTTATCATTATTATTATTTAGTTTTCTGTCCTGTTACCTTCAATTAAAATTTGTTGTGAGTCCTCAATCCCTGCATGTTCCACAGTTAATGTTTCATCATCCAACATCATCATATTGTTCTGTAATAAAAATATAAAACATTCTTTATACAATTTAAGGGAGACAACTACAATATCTGGAACTAAAAGTAAAGGCAAGAGTTATCCTTTCCAGTATTTGAAATGGATGCAAAGTAATAATAAGATTTAGCTTAAGATTTTTTGCTTTCAGTATCAAAGACTGTATTTGATTAAACAATTAAAGGGAGATCACTAAAATTCATTCGGCCAAACTGCCAATCAGTGGTTATCAACAAATAACCTTTAACTGTATAAAACAGTTTCTCTTTTATTTCTATAACTTATTTGACGTACAAAATGTTCTACAAACTCATGATTTTTTTTCCAGAGGTTAATAAGGACCAATAAGGAGTTATTCCACTGGAGTAAGTAATGCTATTTAGCCTTTAAAAAGTCTAAGAAATTCAATTTCTATCTTAATCATGTAAGTTCAGTTGATTATTTCAACATAATGTACCTCATCTTTGCTGCTTATTTTCCACAGTCGTAAATCTTCTCTTGTGAAACGTAATTTTGTACATAGGAAATCATACACTTGTTGCATGGTATGACATTTACTAAAACACGCTGTAAATGCCAGGTATTTCTTTGGTTGTTGATGGTGATTTGTAAAACTGTTCATAGTACCTGAAAAAATAACAATAATAATTGAGTCGCGTCATGACAAAACCAACATAGTGGGTGTGCGACCAGCATAGATCCAGACCAGCCTGTGCTGCCGCACAGTCTGATCAGGATCCATGCTGTTCGCTTACCAACCCTATTTCAAGTAGAGAAACTGATAGCAAACAGCATGGATCCTGATCAGACTGCGTGGAAGCGCAGGCTGGTCTGGATCCATGCTGGTCGCAAATGCATTACGTTGGTTTTGTTGTGACGCAGCTCATATTATTAATAGTGAGAAAATAAAATAACAATTCTTTTAAAGGAACTCCACTGAGGTCCAAACGCCTAAAAAGATAAAATTTTAAATTATTACATAGACCACTTGGGGCATTTAAAACAAGAAGATAGGCAAAAGATAATGAAGAAATAGGCTCAGAAATCCACTGAAAATTGTTTTTTTGTGCTATTCTAAGCACAATTTAATTAAAAGCATTGCAACGTTTTTCAATTTTTGGGTCATTCTTCTCAATGAGAATAATTATTCTGGGAAAAAGGAGTGAGTAAACCTTTAGGTATGTTATTTATCAGTTGCAATATAATTATGCTTTTTTGCCTAAATAAATCCCAATTTTCTGACACATTAATATACAGAAATGCAAAGCCCAAACCCTTGACCTTTTCTCAATTTGAAGCAAACATAACTATGGCAATTCAACTTGCAAACTGTTTGCAGTTCAGGACCATCTTAAATTATAACCCATTGACTGTCATTCCTTCCTACAAAGTCAATATATTATAACTCATTAATTGCAATTCCTTCTTACAAAGGTTGTTGACTTCAAATCAATCGCTCTCACTGCTGTGGGTTCAAATCCTGACAGGGACTTTGGATTCTTTCATGTGAGGAAGCTATCAAGCTAGGTTATGGAACATCAATGGTTCTACTCAGGTGCCTATTTGTGCCTGAAGTAATGCACGGAAGGGCACCTGAGGTCTTTATCCACCAGTAAAACTGCAATGTCGCCTATACTGTGTTGGTGTGACGTAAAACCCAATCAAAACAAACAAACTAATCTTACAAAGTCAATATATAATAACTCACTAATTGCCATTCCACCTAACCCTGTCATCACACTGGTAATAGAAGTAGTCTGTACTGGACGCTGAGCTTGAGTCTGGTGTCTCAATAACCGAACCATTACCGGATAAAGCTCAAGTTCTGGGTTCAAATCTCCCTTTCCAGTTGGTATCACCTATAAATACAGTCAGGACTCAATACATCGGAATCCATTATACTGACAAATTCAAATAACGACCGTGAATTAGTGGGAACCAATTTTTTTCAACGCTATTAAAATCCTTTATAACGGAAAATTCGTATTCCAACACCGACACAATAAAATTGGAAACCAAACGTGTTATTTTCTATACAATTGGTACCCGTTAAACTGGCACTTGGACAGTCAAGCGCGCATATCATAGAGCCGTGAACAAAAGCCGCAAGGTGTTAAAATGTATTGTAGCTTGGTGAGTGGATTGTTACACCTTATGACAATACCAACGTATTGTTGTCAGCTGAATTTTGTTACACTTGCAAACTTGTGACTTTTTTATTAAAACAATTGCAGAACTTCCAGCTAAACGTCAACGGACTGCTTTTTATTTTATAAAGTGTTATCATTTTCATATCAATTTTTAGCTATTTTAGTTGTTACTATTTTAATAAAGTTGTTTTATTATTTTTATGATATGTAATGTGTATAATAAAAGGAAAACATAAACTCAAAAATCTTTTTATAATAGATGTTTATTATAGATCTAAATATATAATGTTCAGATACCATACATAATGTTCAGATACCATTGAATAAGCATACCATTACATGATGAATGATGAAATTCAATATACTGACAAATTCGATATACTGACATATCCTTTGGGAACCAACAGTGTCGTTATAATGAGTCCTGACTGTATATATCATTCCAAAGATAATAAAATTTTGTACATTGAATCAAGCTAAAATTGATAAATTAAAAATAAACTGATGATAATGAATGGGATAAGGAACAAAGATGTATTTGTTTAATCTTGAAATCCAAGATTTTCATTTTTATCTGAGGCAACAGATATCAATGAAAACAATTAATGATTTGGAGGGTCAAGAGGGATATTTTATCTACAGGCTGAAAATAGAACCAATTTTAACAGCATTTCAACTGATGATACTGTATGGATTGCCAATCTGTTAATACTGTTAAGCCTTACAATGTAAATGTTTAAGATAGAATGATGGATTTTTACATCAAATATTAACTTTGAGCTGAAAGGAAGTCGTTGGACTGTGAATCAGGCACCAAGGTGTTACTCCTTGACGTTGCAGGTCACTTTCCTTGTAATTTATGCATGAAATCTTGTCTACGATCATTTGCACAGTACCTCTGCTCTGGCATGTATAGAAGTTATCAGTTCCTTATGAAAGTGAAAGCTACTAGTACTGGTAAACAGCCTGTCAGCCTGCCTAGAATGATGCAGTGACTGATCTGTGCTCTGGTAAATTCAATGTGGCTCACTGCCGTGATTGGGAGTGAAAACTACCTATAACCTGAGCTGGCAGTATAGAGTTTAGTTAAAGAGACATTATGCTCATTGTTTTATTATCAATTTGAGCTGAATTGACTATACATTTCAAAAGATTGCATGGTATAATGGTGATTGACCAACAGTTGATAATGGAAAACATTTAGGACTAATTGTAAATCTGCCTATAATATAAAAAGACTGTCCCACTTTTTTTTCTAAATTGAACGTTACAGGTATATTCCGATGAATATTTACAGAAATTTTTATGCCATGTGAGTTATTTATTGTTTATGCGAAGAAGATTATAAAATTGAAAGGAATTGTGGCAAAATGTGAACTTATTTTGATGTTCTGCTGTTCTCTCACTATATACCCTTTGATGTGCATAATATCACTTTAACTGTATATATAAACAGGTTTGTCTTCTTCTATGGCTTGTGGCTGGCATAGGTATGACATAAAATAGGTAGGATTCATAGCCATTTTATATATAATATATGTCCTATCTCGGCTATCTGACCAGGCAATATGTCAACAATTGGATTGACTTTTCACAACATATAACAACATCACTAATAAAGTACATAGTGAGATCCAATCAAGCTTATAATAAACAAACATACAGTCGACTCTCGTTATCTCGAAGTCATCGGGACCGTCCAAAAAATATCGAGATAATGAAATGTCGAGATAAACATATTAGGGTTTGAACAAGGCAGAAGCTGATTTTTACAAAAGACATGTGCATACCTTATGCCAAATAAATTATGATATCTCCATGTCTTCTTTTTATAAGCCTAGTATTTCAAAGTCAATTTTTAACAAAGGAATATTAGCGGATGTTTACCAGCGGAAATACGGGTGTCTGTGATAAAAACACATAGTGAGGTTTACTCAGTAATGTAATACACCAAAATAGTGAAAACATTGTTTTTAGTGTGGTTGATCCGTAAGTTATCGGGATTGTTCGACCGCTGTTTGATTTTTTTGTGTAAAACAATATTGTAACGATAACGTTTCTATACTTTCACTATTTCATTTACAGTTAAAAGTCATAATGAATTAATACTGTGTTCCAATATTTATAAAGAACGTAAAAATTCGGTCATTTTGGACATAAGTCAATCAACACGCTAATTAGATTAACTTTTATAATAACAGCTAAACTTGTTACAAACATAATCATCATAATGACACACGCTATTGAGCAATTATCGTCTAGTTTGTGTTTTTCACAAGAAGAAAATTATTTGTCGAGATAAACAAAGGATAGTAGTGTGAAAATAACTTTAGGGGCTGAAATTTTACATCGAGATACTGAAAATATCAAAATAAAAATATCGAGATAAACAAATATATCCAATATAGATAAAGAAGGAAGAAAATCGGGACTTTCAAAATTGCATCGAGATAACGAAATATCGAAACAAGAGCTGTCGGTAGGACAGCAACGCTCGACTATACTTAGTGCTTGATAGTAAAAAAAAAAATGCTTGATACAGTTACCTCCTCCTGTTTACAGGTTGGGGTAATGATGGTGAACAAGTGTGCAAAGTTTCAAAGCCATATGTCAATGGACTTCGAAAATATTTGAGGTATTACAAAAACTTTAACGTAAATTCTAAGTCGAAAAAGGAGCATAATTCTGTCAAAATGCTTGATACAGTTATCTCCTCCTGTTTACAGGTTGGGGTAATGATGGTGAACAAGTATGCAAAGTTTCAAAGCCATATGTGAATGGACTTTGAAAATATTTGAACTATTACAAAAACTTTAACATAAGTGGTTACGCCGACGCTGACGCTTGGGTGACTACAATAGCTCTACTTATTCTTATCGAATAGTCGAGCTAATAAAGAAGGTCTTACAACACTTTTTGCTGTCAACCCTAATTATGCTAGTGAACATCATTATTCATATAATTTTGTAGTCAGGGGCTTAACAAGAGCTGTCGGTAGGACAGCAACGCTCGAATATTCTTAGTGCTTGATAGTAAAAAAAATGCTTGATACAGTTACATCCTCCTGTTTACAGGTTGGGGTAATGATGGTGAACAAGTGTGAACAGTTTCAAAGCCATATGTCAATGAACTTTGAAAATATTTGAGGTATTACAAAAACTTTAACATAAATTCTAAGTCCAAAAAGGGGCATAATTCTGTCAAAATGCTTGATAGAGTTACCTCCTCCTGTCTACAAGTTGGGGTCATGATGGTGAACAAGTGTGCAAAGTTTCAAAGCCATATGTCAATGGACTTTGAAAATATTTGAACTATTACAAAAACTTTAACATAAGTGGTTACGCCGACGCAGACGCAGACACTGACGCCGACGCTCGGGTGACTGCAATAGCTCTACTTATTCTTATCGAATAGTCGAGCTAAAAAGCGTTGTCGAGATAACGATAGTTGACTGTATGTCCAACAGATCCATTTTTTTTCATATTGATGCTAGAAAAAAAACTTTGAAAGGAGTACTCACAGTTCTAGGTAATGCTGGACAGCCCCCATACCATGTAGATAGAGCCTTCCAGACTGGTTCAGGTACTAATTTAAAATCTTTCCCATCTACCATCATAACATCTCTCTTCAATCGACCTCCCTCATTTGTCAAGGTCATCACCTGCAACATGTATGTAGCTAATATATCCATGTAAAAAACTATACAGTTTAATTTCATACAAATATTCAATATCTGCTACCAGTGATCAAGATTTGAATAATTTGTAAATATCATTTGAAGAATAATGGTTTTTGTCACACAGACAGAGCATTCAACAACTCTCACTGCTTTAAACCAAGCAGAACTTCGTTAAATTGATAAAAAAGGGAATAATACAATAAAGAACCATGCTAATGTTATTTGTCTTGGTCAGTGACATACAAGTATGACTCTGTGTATGAACATTTGTGTAAAAATTTTGCATCGGCACCTACAGAGGTCAATTATAAATGAGACAGCTAAAGAAAACTCTAATAATAGAAAGCCTCACTTCTCTTCAATCAGTCCAATTAAACTAGCTCAATTATAAGTTAGAGTAGAGGAACATATAGTATAATAACGTCCTGATACAAGACTTAAATGTATAATTAACCAAGCACTTACCTTATACTGATTTGGTATAACAAGGGAGCTGTTGTCTATTTTACTAGGTTTTGGTGGAATAACCACTCTTTTCTTCAACTTCGGGGATGCACTCGGGCTCCTCGTCTTGTGCTCAACTTCTGGAGATAACCTATACTTTTTAGGCGTACTCGTCAACGAATGTGACGTCCTTGGAAACGTATGACTATTAAACTGATTGGAAGATTCTCGCGAATCTCCGACCAAAGGTGTCTCACATACAGAGTTTGTTTTATTAACATTCACCATTATTACATTTTCATCGTCCCACGGTAGACATCCTGTCGGATTTTTACACTGTGTAAGTAATCTATGACGAGCATCGTTAGAACTACTGCGTGCAGGTGCTTCCGTTATCACCCCGTTTTCTTCCGTGACTTTATATGTGACATAGCTTTTCCATGCATTCCACCACTGTATTGAAATAAGGTACCACACTTGTCCAACTTTCTTTTTCTTTCTATCTTCTCTTGCTAACCAATCCCTGGATTATGATAAACAGATTTGAAATATTTTTTTTTTTTTGCAGACCATATGTACAAATATTGTTTGTATCTTGGAAAAATAAAATACAACATTAAATCATTCACATTAAACGATGGTATCATAGCAAACTCAATTGCATTTCAACATTCCATTTTTCTAAACAACATGTTAGCCTCAATTATTGCTGTTTTTTGTTTTGTTTTTTGTTGTTGTTTTTTTGTTGTTGCCCCCCTCCCCCAACTTTCCAAAAATGTACTTGTACTTGTATTGTATGATCTAAGGTGCCCCTCCAAGCAAATTTAGAAAGCACCAACAGGCACCTGAGAATAGAGCTCCATACTTTCTTCACATAAAAATATGAAGTCTCTGGTGGGTTCAAAACCACAACTGTTTCCTCTAACTTAATCCTGAACCTGCTGGAATATCCTTTGCAACCAGTATAGGCTCTATCCTACTGGTAGCTCAATTTTTGTACATGTATTTTGTAATTTGATATTGAAATCTCTCAAACATTTGAAGAATCATTCGAAATTCAAATCTAAGCAAATCCTATACATAAAGTCCGCAGGTTCCAGGGGTGAATTGACTAAATGACTAAGCTGCATTGGTAATGTTGACACTTTACCAAAGCACAAAATGACTACTTTGAAAGCCTTTTCATTCAGCATAACAATTGGTTAAGGAAAACAATAAAAACTTACAGAATTATCTTCCCTTCTTCTTCAGGAGTTTCAGGTTTAAGACCAAGAACTACATGGCAAATCTGTTACAAAGAATGAAAAATAGCTATATTATGAAGTACATTGAACATACATTTATATCTCTAATAATCCACTGATTTATCCTTCACCTTTAACCATGTGGTATAATGCCATATTAATGCATACTGTTATAGTTAAAAGTTTAAATTACATGTATACTTTTGTGTTAGGAAAACATAAAATAAAAGTCCTTGAAAAGTTTGAAATATTGAACATTTTTACATGTGAAATGCAAATAAAATTTCAAATAAAACTTAAAAATATTTACAACACTTTTTCTTCTTCAGTGAGTGATATAAATTATATCACACTGTTATCAATGATTTTCCACACATATACACAAAATCCTTGACCTTGCAATGACATATTCTTTAATGGACATACTGTAGCATTTAATAAACATTTCTGTAATTTTTTTTTGAAAAATCAACCTTTCAACCTTAATAAACCTTTAGAATAACTTGGCAGAGCTTTAACTGCAATGTGATATAGAAAATAAACATAAATGGCCTTAAAATGACCTTGAAATGCTAAAAATATCTTACCTGACTAAGTAGGTCAAGGAAATCATCACAGAGCACATTATTCACCGTCCACACTAGGTATTCTTCCATAGTGATGAACCCATCTTTATCAGAATCATGACATGACACAATCTCCTTGGCAACCATGTTTGGATCCATCTTAAGAAAGGCATCACTCTCCTGTAACAAAAAAAAGAACTTAACAATGCAGATGCTTGCAGAAATCATGATCACAAAGTAGAAAAATGTTGCATTTTTCGCAAATTATTATATTTTTCATTCATTTTCGTAAGTAAATCAGTGACTGTGTGAACTTGATGACTTGAAGTACGTTTCGGCTGGTAGAAAAGGTGAGAGTTTAGCATCTAAGCATTCAAGCACATTGTGTGATATAAACCAGAATACAGAAATACAGAATTTAATATTGTGCTCAAACACTTTTTTTAGTCTCACTGAAAAAAAATCAATATTAGCAAGGGTTTATCCAGCTTGACCCTGCTGGAACCAAAGCTGATTAGCATAGGCCACAAGTATACAGCCAAGTCAGCTTGTAAGTCCATGCAGTCGGCCGAAGCTCCTATCTCTACTACTGGTACCTTAATTTTCTGTTTTAATACTGAAATCACTTTAAGTTTATTATATATGGACTGTTCAAAATTCAAAGCAGGAAAAATCCATTACACAAGGGGTTTCCAAAGATTGCAAAATTCAAGACAAAAGACAAATAATTCGGCAAAGCTCCTTAAAACCTTCATCGTCTGCTTTTCAAAATACATGTACTATCGAGAGTTTATCAAGTCACATATTATTTTACTGCTTCAACAGTGTTATTCCATTTCTGACTTATTTCAAACAATTATGTGTCATTAGATAGAACTGCTGTCATCATATAAAATTCATTGATGAATTTAAATGGTAACAGACAGTGGAAAGGATTTTACATTAGTTGCACACGACTGGTTTTGCAATTCATGAAATCTTTGCTTACTGTATATACATGTACATGTTTTTATGTTGTACATTTTGAAATATAAATATTGTTTAAACTAAACAGGTAGCAGAAAGACAAGCTGGATACAACTCAACTGACTTCTTTACACTGCTGTCAAGGCAACGATTATGACAACTGCCATAAGACAAACATGTACATATTCCATCTTATCACTAGAAAACATATATAGAATAGCCTCATTTCTAAAAACTTCTAATTAAAATCTTCATGACCTATGTATTATTCATTTTTAAGTTTATTTACCAATTGTTCAGGATCCTTGTTCTCCATCCGTATTGCTACTAGAGAATCTATCATCTCACGTAACTCTTGCTCACCCAGTTTACCATCATGATCCGTGTCAAATATTTTAAAACAAACTGTAAATATACATAGTAACAATACATACATTATTCTTGAATTGCACATGTTATTGCATGTGTGTAGTGTTTGTAAAACTTGCGCTTAAACTTTAGCCTGCTGGCCGCAACAGGTTTTACCCATGCGGCCAGTGCAGACCAAGATCAGCCGGCACATCCGTGTGGTCTGATCATGGTCTGCACTGTTCGCTTTTCTGTCTATACATATTTTGTAACATTTCCCTAAAAATTATAAATGGTTTTGCCCAGACTGAAAGATGGACAAGTCCATTTAAGATATTTAGCGTGGTACAGGTTAATTCAATTATGCAGCAGACGGCATAAACATTTTGTAATAACACACCATGTTTTATGCTTATCATGAAAATTAGCAACATCATCTCATAAAAACCAATAAACCTGCCTCCCTATTGTTATTTATTTGTTTCCAGAACAATTAACCGTACAAACCGATTATTACACAAAAGCCCTATTATCATATTTCCGTGATTTAAATTTCACCTGTAAATGTGAATAATTATATCTAAATTACAGCTCAGTTTTATCTAAAATCAATTTGTTTACTGCCTCAAGCATAGGCATAGAACTTAACACCATCTCCTTTTCCTTCCATTACCTCATATAATTAATTCAATTTTCAATTAAAAGGGATATAAATAAATCTTGGAACATTTTCAGAAAATTTTTACTTGAACATTTTGTACTTTTAAAAATATATTTATCTGAACTATCACTACGAAAAATAATTAAACAAGATTTAGAAAGTTTTAAAACTAGGATAATGGAGAAAAACATAAAATACTGGTAAAGCTTCAAATGAGGGGGTGGAGCAGGGGTCCATGGGAGGCAATAATTACTAGCTAACAGCACTTTATCTTATTAAACAGATGGAAATAACTTAAATACTTAACTAAAATCTATGTCAAACAAAGCAAACATCATCATGTTAGTGCAGTAATGGAATAAGTCCTTCTGAATTTGATAGGACTTAATCAGTTATTGCACTAAGGAATCAACATGAGTAATAGTTATGCAATTGCTAGTCCCTAATGTCAAAGGGAAGTAAGGAAAAGTAAGAAAATCTATTTTTAGCCTCATTGACCTTGACCTGATTGACCTGAAACACCTCTAAATGGTAGATGTCATTATAAGATACCACCAACATATCAAATATCTGAGTTATTAGTCAGGAAATGACAGAACAACAAGAAACAATGTGATAAAAGATTTACAATTTCCATTGCTACACTAAAGTTTTCTAGGGGAAAACCCTTGCATATTTAAGACATTTTTACATATCTAAAAAAAAATTTCTTCTAATGAAAAAAGAAATGGGATCAACCAATTAATTTCTTCAGATGAAAATACAGAAAAGACATATTTTCCATCCAAACTTGAGCTATTTTTTGTTATAATACAAAATATACTGTTATCACAAGACTTACATTTTTGTCTCTCCATTGTGGGACCACGGCAGCATGCAGACACTCCACAAGCTATCTCCTTAAAGTCTATATGACTATCACGATTCTCATCAAATGCCATGAACAATGCTGAAAATAACACAGAGAAAATTATAATATACAAAATATGTAAAATAGCGTTTTTAGGCACATGGAAAAGTCTGTACCACCTTGGAAGACAAAATGTTTATTTACAGGATTCAGCTAGCCATGGAATCCTGAGGGTCATTTTGACCAATATGGTCTCATAAGTTTTGCCAATTACAAGGCAACAACTGCAGGATTTTAGCAAAATTTGACCCGCCAGTTAAAATCTCGAGGGTCAAATCAAGCCTTTAGGTAATTTGAAGGGTCACATGGAATGGAAAAAAACAATGACAATAATCTATTATTACCAGGTTTTACAAATATACAGCTACATAAGTAAATACAGTAAATACTGGGAAAACCCAGATATTTCAGGGTAATACTGGGCAATACTAGGTCTAAAAACTTGTCAATGAATATCAGTGTCATCAAAATGGATATTTATACATAATTTTGTTTTTATAAAAAAAAATAATTTTGAATTAAAACATGTTTTTAAACTATCACAACACTTTCCGCATGATTAATAATTGATTGACACATCACTTTTAAATACGAGTTGCATAACACTTCGCAAAATACACCATTAATATCATCTTTGAAAAAAATATTTTACATCTGTAACACATTGTATTTATAATGCACAGGTAAACATGAATAAAGTTCAAAGTACTCTATAGTTTTGCTGTCAACTTCAATCTTGTATTGAGAGATGTTTTGTTTTTCTACAAGGTAAGGTTTTGTCACCTGCTTTAGGCTGTTTAACATGTGATAATTGATTGTAATTGAAGACTTTAATGCACCAAAACTACAGGTTGTACCTGATGATTAGCTGTAATTATCCTTTATTATCACACCAGTGTAAGATAATATGAGCCGTGTCATGACAAAACCAACATGGTGCGTTTGCGACTGGCATGGATCCAGACCAGCCTGCGCATTCGCGCAGTCTGATCAGGATCCATGCTGTTCGCTATCAGTTTCTCTACTTGTAATAGTGTTTGTAAGCGAACAGCATGGATCCTGATCAGACTGCGCGGATGCGCAGGCTGGTCTGGATCCATGCTGGTCGCAAACCCATTATGTTGGTTTTGTCGTGACGCGGCTCATATATTATAGAGTACATCAGAGTTAACCAGAGGTAACAATTTTCACATGTTGAAGACTGGCCAAGTAAACAAAGAATTTACTGAACACTAAATTTTCATTTTTCTATAAACATGAAGCATGGATTTTTTTATAACATTACTGAAAATGTTTCAAAAGATTTTTTTTCTTTTATGAAACATGTAGCCTAAGGATCCCATTTTGATTTTTTTTGACATTGCTGAAGTGCTACATCCTTCAAGTTATAAGCAACTTACATGTCTTAAAGAATTATTCAAATGTTATGAAATTCGTGTTTGCTATTTAAAACGAAGGAAATTTTTTATTGTTTCTGAGTCATAATGTGCCTTTAATCTTCCCTCAACATACACAATCTAAACAAACATCTCTTTCATTTCATCAACATACAGTTATATAATTTCCATGGGCAATGCCATCTCTTAGACACAGACTGTAAAGTAATTAAACATGTAATAAACTCCTGCTTTCCATCTTCTAAAATTCACCTCTATTTCTTTTTCAAGAAACATTTTACATCTGTATAAAATAATTTTTCCATATTGTATAATTAAAGGTACTGCATGTCATATTTTACCTTCACAAAGGGATTCTGGTATTGTAGGACAGACAAATGATTTAAATGTTTCCTGGTCAAATTTCCCTGTCTTAGACTGAGCTTTCAAAATCCAGTATTTCTTCTCCAGTTCACTAATATCTGTCTCTTCCACTGAAAATATAAAATAGATTTGACTTGTTCACATTTGGGTAACCCTTAATCTGCTGAAATAGTGTTAAGGTTTAGCCTTGAATTTGGAACATCTCATACAAAGTTTTTTTTTTGTTTCAATATAAACATACAAATATTGAGATACCAAGAGCCTCAGATTTGACTGGCTCTATACTAGTGGCAAACAGACAGGATTTATATCTACTGTTTACACAACACACAAGAAAAAATCTGTCTTACACCCCCATTGTACGATAAGTCACGTGCTTTGCAGCTTTAAATGACTTCTTGCCATGGATGCCTCCCCCCGCTTTTTTCCTTTGGATTGGCAAATGAAATTTAATAATATAGTTTATAATTCATATTAATCTAAAACTTATCAAGTAATCAATATTTGATGAAATTCAAAATACGTAAATTGATCAATTAATCAATTATAATAATTGATCTATTAAATAAATCTTGCACATGATTCTGAGTTTATTTTGAACATTGATAAATTTCAATTAATACTTGAATATGAGGAAATCTAAAAAAAAAACTGAAATGGCCAGATACTGTAAAAATCTGAAATTTTCACAAAATATTAAATTTTGCAAATTTTTTTAATTGAAGAATTTCAGGAAAATAATGTTTACCAAAGTTTTCAGTATTGTATAAATTCAACTAAATTGACAGTAGAAATTCATAATTATTAAACTCTCCAATAAGTCAAAAACGTTGATTTCCCAAACTTTTGGCCTCACAAAAATATCTTATTATACAATATCAAACCCTACATATTTTCCATTTTCAATGGTTTGATACCATAGTTTTTCTCCAAGTCTTGTTACAAACCTCGGAATTAAATTACCTATCCTGACAAGAGCTGTCAGACAGACAGAACACTTGATTATTCTCAGTGCTTGATACTGTTAAACAAGAACCATTCAGGAATTATCTATGTTCAAAAAGGGGAGATAATTTTAAACCAAATCCATGCAAGAGTAATGTGTCATGGTTAGAGTCGTCAAGTATGTATCTTAAATACAAAAGTTGCAAAAGAAATTTTGATCAAGTTTTATGCCAACACAAGAGCTGATCCAAGAATCCCCTCACTGCTGTAGGTTCGAATCCTAACAGGGACTTTGGATTCTTTCATGTGAGGTAGCTATCCAGTTAGCTTACGGAACATTGGTGGTTCTACTTAGATGCCCGTTCGTGCCTGAAATAATACAAGGGAGGGCAGCTAAGCTCTTTCTCCACCAGTAAAGCTGCAATGTCGCCATATGACCTTGGAATACTATGTCGGTGTGACATAAAACCCAATCAAACAAACTGGACCCAGAATAATTAAGACAGCCACACTATTCTTGAATTACAAAATTTATAGTTATACATTTATCCCGTTTTTAAAAACAGGTCAGACTGTATATCAATCAGATTTCATTACATTAAATTACTTACAGTGTGTAACTCCGGCCAGTGTCTGGTAGAACGTTGGTGTTTCTGTGTCGCTGGACAGGGAAAATGAAATTGGTTCGGTCAGCAGCCATTTCGTTACAATTGTTGCATCTGGATTCATGTAGACCCATGTACGGAATGTTTCATAATCAATTTGATCACTCTGAAAAAGAAAATATTAAAACAAGATGTACACCCATGTACAAAATTTATGTTTCATAATTAATTTGATCACTCTGAAATACAAAATATCAAAAAAGTGGATTAAATTTATCCTTTCTGCCTCTGCAAAAAGAGTGACAGTTATATGGTGATTTTCCAGCTCTACAGGAAGACTTCAGGTGAACATCATATCAATTATTTGAAGCACTAATAAGAGCTATAGCTAATTTAAAACCATATAGCTAAGGTTGCAGATTAACTTTTTCTATTCACATTCTTAATGAAACATGCCTTCAGGTTCAGGAAGTATTTGAAATACCAATACAGGAACTTCATGGCACTTGAGTAAAGCAACCAATTGTCTGTATTTGCTCACATGAATGTGATTGGGGTTTGGGGCAAATAAATCTGAGTCAACAACCTTAGAAACTGGAACAGGGAGGCTCAATCTATTTATATATTATTATGCTAACCTAGGCAAATAATTTTGAGTCAGTAAACAGGGAGTCTCAGTCTATTTATAGAATAATGCTAACCCTGGCTCAGCAACCTTAAAAACTAAAACAAGGGGGGGGGGGGGAAGTGGCTCAGTTTATTTATAAAATTATGCTAAATTGCTAACCCTGGCAAATTATATTGAGTAAGAAAACAGGGAGGCTCAGTATATTTATAGAAATATGTTAACACAACAACCATAAAAACTGGAACAAGGAGGCTCAGTTCTATTTAAAGGATTGTTATACGTTCACTATTTTGTTGAAATATCAAAAATTAAAACATGCAGGAATGTTGCAATCTTACAGTAGTCTAATCTCAATGTAACATAAATCTCAGAATGCAGTTTTATCCAGCTGTGTCTCAATTCTTCCATCAAAAGAATAATGACAAGATTTAATTTGTTGAAACATTGTGAAAATTCTCCAAGACATGGGTTGCTAAATGAATCTTTTATGTTATTTTTTTTGGCAAAAAAAATATTTGCAGAATAATAACATAAAGAAAATTGTTTCATTACTTCACTGAGAGCTTCTTTTAACACATTAAACACACAGATTCTTACACATGTAGCATAATGCTATATTATTCCTCCTAATCTAAAAGCACTGACCTTGGCCTTAATGCCAAAAAGAAACATACCTTGTTTATGCATATGACACTACACCTCATGCTGATAACATTTTGTATAAAGTAATATTAAAATTTATCAAACATTTGCATTAAGAAGATAATTAAGGTTATGTCAAAATCTTGACATTTCATCATCTCTGGTGACCTTGACCTTCTATAAATTGACCTGGATTATGCTGGTAAGACTCAGTGTCTCATGACTGTGAACATTTCTTAATTCAAAAAAACTAAACTGTCCATGCACACATTTTCATATTTCTATCTGACCTCTGAACTCTAAATTTGACCTTGACCTTGGACACATGTATCTAAATTTTGCAAGCAACATTCCACCTCACGCTTGTGAACATCTGCCCCAAGTTACAACAAAATCTCTCAATGCATGTAGAGGTTGTCCTTTGACCTCAACTGTGACCTTGACCTTTGACCTAGAGACCTGGCTCATGTAGGTGTCACTACTACTGATGGTGTTGAACATTTTCTGTGCAGAGTAATACTTAAAATTCCTCAAAGCATGAAGCAGATACAATGCATACTCTGGACAAAACTGGCCACAATGAGTACCCATTCAAAATTAATTTATAGAAAGCAACCAAAAACACCTCCCTCTAAAGTTCTTGCAAACTCAACTTCAATATATAGATCTAAGGGTTTTTTTTTCCCACTACTTCTTTATTTATTAATACTTATAATAAAAACACATTGCACTATTCTGCCACTTAACCAAGGTGTCAGTTTATTGATTTAACATGACATATTTATAATATTATACAAGTACATGTCATAAAAGTGCAGATTGCATGGCATAAAATACAAATGAATTTTTTGTTGAGTAGTCTACACAAGGTGTGCTCCTTATTTTGATATATATAACTTTTATTCACTGCCGATGCAAATGGCTGAATGCCAATTTTTCGCAATATCTGTAAAGTGCTTCTTATTATACGGGCAACAATACAATGCATCATAAAACCTATCTTTTATTCACCTTTACTTGAGAAAAAAAATGCTGGGAAAACTGTTAAATAAAGAGCAAGTTGGTGATGAAAGAATAAAATTTGTTTAATATTGTTCATAAGACACTTTGTAGTTTTAGTTTGAATGTGTTGGAAGCTATAAGCTTGTTAAAACACTCACAAATCTGTTCCTGGAACCAACCAATACTAAGAAATGAGTATAAAGTTTCTTGCTCAAGGAAACAACTGCTTGCCCCTGAATAGGGTTTTATGCCATGGGCCAGAATGATAGATTAATAGTTTTGCACATTAACCATCAGCCGAATCACCACTTGTGACACTTGTTATAGTAGTAACTATGAGGTAGGCACCCTCCCATGCATTACTACAGGCACAAGCAGGTACAATGGCCCCTGACTTAACAAGAAATATATGTACATGTATCTCTATCATGGACATAAGCCAAAGCACTTTACTAGCTCTTACCACACTTAATTTGCATAATGACTATAATGGACTAGACCTGACTTGAATCTGGAGCTAATAAAATACTTTTCACCAGGGATAAAGGTTTCAATATTACAATATACTTGCATCTCAATATTTCAATATACTGGCACCTAACAGTATTAAAACATATTCTTATGCTAAACAGAAAAGCAGATCAGCCTAGTGCTATACAACTGTAACATGTGACATAAGCATGTCAATACAATTACAGCCAGACAGATATTGGGATAACTTTATTAGGCCAATGTAAGGGCCATAACTCTAAATGAAATTTAGTAATAACTCTTGCTTTATTCACAGTGACACTGTTATATCAGATTATGCTAGTTCAATGAGTTTAACCTAAAGTCAAAGTATAGCTTTTAATCATCGATACTTCTTGAATTCATTTTTCTGTGCAGACCCTGTAAAAAGTTTATAGAGTTAATTAAACAGTTTAAAATGTGTAATGTTATGTCAAATGGTAAGACATACCTGTGCAAAGAGTTGTGTAAGTGATGGAGGAACCTGATCCTCTGTTGTAACAATTTTTCTGTCCATCTCATCCTTGTTGATCACTGTGAAAGACTCATCAGCATACATGCCAAATATCACTGAAATATAGTATACCAAATATCAGCTATATTATATCAAATATCACTGAAATATTAATATCAAATATCACTGAAATATTATATATCAAATATCACTGAAATATTATATCAAATATCAGTGACATATATTATACCAAAGATCAGCAATATAACTTCAAATATCACTAAAATATTATATCAAATATCACTGAAATATATTATACCAAATATCAGTTATCTGCATGTATTATGCCAGATATCACACCAAATATCACTGAGATATAATACCAAAATTAATATCACTGATATTATATAAAATATAACTTAAATATCAGGTACCAAGTTACCAACAATAGATGAAATATCAAATAACACTGAAATAAATATTATATGCAAAAATAGCACTGGAATACTTTGCATTATACCAAATACAAATGTATCACCAAAATATTCTACCAAATAACTGAAATACTTTATTGTATGCAAAATAAACACTGAAATACCCTATCAAATAGTATACTGAAATATTATACATGTCTCAAATATCAATGGAATATTATGTGAAAATATCACCTAAATATTATATAAAACATTACTCATATTAATATATCAACAAGAAATGTTAGAAACAAGCTAACCGCAGTTTCTCATTTTTTAAATGGATATACCTAGCTAAGATTTTTTTATATTACCGGTAACATGAGGAAGGTGGCTAAAAATGAATAGTTTACTTATAATCAAAAAACTTTAGGTGGTGTCTAGAAAAAATCATATTGTTGAAAATAATTTTATAATCAATAATATAAACCTTTTCTTTCTGCTTCATATTTGTCAAATTTACAGAAAAATTTGTGATTTTACTCACACTGTACACTCACATGACACCTTATTAAAGTTTCTATATAGGAATTTTCAGCGTGAAATATAAATAATAAACCCCCATTAAACCCAAAATAATCGCTTCAAAATTTCAGATAAATTATCGTCTTCCAAGACAAATTATTACCACACAACTACCATACTCCCTGGCTGGCCAATGAACGCAATCATATGCATGGCTTCAGCGAATCTGGCTACAAATTCATTTAGGCCCTAGAATTACTTCAAGTTCGAGTAACATTAGTTCAGAACAAATCACTCAGTCTGTATCAATTGTAAATAAATGCCGTCAAATTACTGCAGTTTCTTCCAATAACGTCAACATGTTCTCTCTTGGACTTGACAGGTTATCCTAGCCTTTTAGAAGAACAATCTTGTTTCAATCAATAACATTGTAGTAAAACAAATTAAACACAACAAAGATAAACTCACTTGTTTCCTCTTATTTAGGATGAAATAAACTGATTACATTAAATAAGTACCTTGCAAAATGGGGAACCTGATTAATTTAAACCAGAAACTGTACAAGTCGGTAACATCTTTGATGAGTATCACATACAGAAAAGCAACGCTTAAAGATAAAATTTAATGGATTTTAAGTTACAATGACACTATAAAGGTCCAAATTATCTGATGGGGAATTGATTTGAAGTCAGCAACCTTAACCACTCAGCCATGCTGATTATAAATTTACGAATTCGGCAAAACTTCAAAAGCAGGCTTTTTGGCAGAAGTAGTGAACTTCATGTATAACATAACACAATCAGCTTTTAATCAAATTTCAAGAAATTTCAAGAAACCTTTTAGAACATGAACTTATAAATAGCAAGAGTTTCCATTCAATCGTTTCAAAACTAACATAGTTATTGTTTTACAGTTCAATTGGATTTAAACTCTATATTTAAAAAAGTATCAAAATACCAAATTGGGAATCAAAACAAAACTTTTGACTGTGATTATTTTTTGTGTGCACAAATTAAAAAATTAAGAAATGATGGACAGATACCACAGTAGCTGTTCTTTTACTCCTTTAACCATACTTCCTTAGTAAAGGAATTATAGATATGTTTCCTTTCTTTGTCAAATAAGACAATTTAGCTTTAAATACCATTTTTTAAAGCAAGCAAGCTAAGCTAAATACACAATGAAATGTTTAAATCTTTTCTTTTGACCAGATATTTATTAAATGGTAATAAAGTATACAACTTGGTATCATGTGACAATAATCAACATGTTCAAACATGAAATCTGTCATGTTAAAATATGAAATCTGCCATGTTTAAATATGAAATCTGCCATGTTCAAATATGAAATCTGCCATATTCAAATATGAAATGTGCCATGTTCAAATATGAAATGTGCCATGTTCAAATATGAAATCTGCAATGTTCAAATATGAAATCTGCCTTGTTTAAATATGAAATCTGCCATGTTCAAATATGACATCTGCCATGTTTAAATATGAAGTTTGCCATGTTCAAATATGAAATCTGCCATGTTCAATTATGAAATCTGCCATGTTTAAATATGAAAATATGATATCTGCCATGTTTAAATATGAAATATGCCATGTTCAAATATGAAACCTGCCATGTTCAAATATGAAATCTGCCATGTTCAAATATGAAATCTGCCAAGTTCAAATATGAAATCTGCCATGTTTAAATATGAAATTTGCCATGTTTAAATATGAAGTCTGCATAGTTCGAATATAAAGTCTGCATAGTTCAAATATGAAATCTGCCATGTTCAAATATGAAATCTGCCATGTTCAAATATGACATTTGCTCTACTCAAATATGAAATCTAGAGCAAGTTCAAATATGAAATCTGCCATGTTCATATTTGCATCTCAAAGAATTAATGTTTCTGTAAGAATATATAGGGAAAACATTTCAACAGTATCTGAATTGCATCGCTCTCTTTGATTTATCTCTGAGAAAATGTGACAGTGGCTCAGGGAATGGATGATATAAATGACCTACTAGATAATGGTATCTGAATAATCTACTGTAGCAACATCAGATGAATGTCAACGAGCCACGAAAAACCTATTATATATACAGTAATGGCATATATAGACAATACCATGATACTTATCTATAAACCATCTTTTTGAATATTATGGTAGACCGATCAATATGTTGCAAAGAAAAATAATTGAGGAATAAATTTTTTTAGAATAATTTTTTGTAATTTTTACAATGATGAAGGGATTTTTTGTTGCTTTTTTTACTACATGAAAGAAACTGTTGACAAAAAATATCAATGTTAAATTCATATTTATAGTAAGTGTATAAATACGTACTGGTTAGGGACCATAAAACTGGACAACCACCAAACCCAGATGGCCCAAAAAATGACTGATTTAGTGTTTATTCTTTGTTCAATAGTTGACGATCTATCAGTTGCTTTTTTATCATGTTTCTTCTATAAGTAAGTAATTACATTTATTTCAACTTCTGTAAAGGGTAATATTTTAATGTCTATTTCAAGAACATTGACATTGAAATTAGTTGGACGACAAGAGTGCAATACCTGATCTCTTGTAAATCTTTCATACAGGTATTTTGGAATTATTCTTTTTTTTTCATTTCAAAATTCAAACAAATTATTTTTTTGTAAACTGCATGCAGCAGTGATATAGCTTTATACATTTTAAACTTAGAATTTCTTGAATTTAAATTTCTAAATAAATCAGGACTATCAATTTAATGAATATATTATTTGCCCCATCTGAATTACAAACAATGCACTTTAATGCAAAACCAATTTCCTAAGTAAATCGGAGGTGGTGTTCATGATAGTTTTCACTCCGTATCACAGAAGTAATCCACACTGAATTCACCAGAGCACAGTTGAGCCACCGCATCATTCCTGGGCAGGCTGTCAAGCAGTTTACCAGTACTACTTGCCTTCACTTTCACAAGGAACTAATAACGTTTATACATGCCAGAGCAGACTGGTACAGTGCAAATGACCATAGAAAGGATTTCATGATCAATCATAACAAAAGGTGACTGCACCGCGGCACCGTGTGGGAATCAAACCCAAATTGTCCCATTCATAGTTCAAAACTATTTATTGAGCTACCAGGACAATGCTAAGTAAATTGGTTGAACTTAAGCAAAATATATCTAGCTGGATCAGAAAATGATAAGCTTTTATGCAGTCTGACCGCTGGCTCTAATAACTTCAAATTTTCATCTTGTCTGAAAATGGACCATTCCAAAAATAGAAGTTAGACAAGTCCATTATAGAAATTAAGCCAGTTAAATCAAGGAGCAAATTAATCACAGACCTTACAGAAAAATGCTGCTCTCTCAAGGATTATAAAATAATTTGTCATGCACTCATTTCCGATCCTCCCGAAAAACCTACTCTAGAGAAATTAACATTTTGATTACAAAATATCCTTCCGGCTTTAATAACAAGACTCCAACTTGACAACATTTAAGATTAAATATAGGACAATTATGCAAATATATCATTTTTTTACTATCGATTCAAACAAATTTGCTGATCTACCTAAAGTCCAACATATTACTTTTTGATGTTCTGTTGCAATAAATGAATTCTGCAATAGCAACAAGCAATAACAAACAATGTGTCTCGGAAAGCTTTCACAAAGAAGTTTCATTCTGAATATCAAGTTTCAGGATCCTGTCTTTAACAACTTCGCTGAATTTGTGTAATCAACTTTATATTTTGAGAATTATGAAGTGTTTCTTTAGGCTTTAGGGAAGACTAAAATTAATTTGTTCTCCAAAAATAAAATATTGCACCTACGTTTCCTTAAAGGATAGAAATAGAATAGTTTTCTTTTTTTAACCAGCCAAAGTCAATCATAATACTATATGCTCCGGGTTGTCATTTAGAGGCGGCTAAAGGCCAAAATGCAGACGAAAAGAGCAAAGCATTATGGGGGAAGATTCGAACAGACTTGGAAATTGGAACGTCAGAAGACGCTGAAGTGACAATTATTAATCATTATGGACAGAATAGCGTTAAAATAAACAGACATTTTTTAAATCTGACAATTTTTATTACTTTCAATAAAATCAATCATTTTTAATACCGACATGCTAGTACTGTACACGTAAGCTGCACCCTAAGGTTCCTGTGTACTTTCAAGGTCATGC